AAGATGGCTTCCGTTGCAGATCCAGACAGTGTCGCCATCGCCACAGATGAATGCCTTAAACGCTGCCATCTCCAACGCCCTTCCCAAACGACTACTCAGCAGCAGGGTCGGCTCCCCGGGAACGCGTTTCCGTCCAGTCACATGACGGCGTCTGCATCTAGTTCTTGGGGACATTCGAACTGATCTTGGCAGGCGTTTCAGTATATCCTTGACTATTTAATTGTTCAATTTTAATCATGATTCATTGGCAATGCGACCTCTGAATGGACAAATTGGCGCTGAGCTGGGATCAGATCAGAATTGGTTGCAGATAAAATGGACACACAACGCTTTGCCGACGAAATCCGCAGCGGCCATCAATCCATTAGACTTGGATTGACTGCACTCTTCACGACGACAAGTTGATCTCCAACGCGAAGTTTTCCCTTGGCTGCCACTGGAAGCATATACATTCTAGGAGTAGAATATAAAAATCAGCATCTCAGGTGCTCCGCTCAGGAAACAAATCGCACCCCAAGCAGTATTTCGTCGGGCCATGATGTCGACCTTGCGATATGCCATCATTGCATTGTTCGGCATGTGTCTGTCGCGCTCGGCGGTCTCCGGGTCGACGTTCGGGAACTAAAACAGCGGTGTGAGTGGATTTTCTGACATCGAAATGGATTGGCAGATATGGAAAGAAAACAAACGTACCATGCATCTCGGACACCGCGCCGGAAGGAAAAAGACCCCACCCCCAGCGGCGATCTCGATCCAATCGTCCTCTCCAAACGCATCGACGACCCCGCTCACGACGACATTCGGGCGGAATCGTTCCACCGCACACAGCGGCTTCGGCTCGTCTGCATCGGCCCAGCCAGCCTCGATCTGATTCGGACTCGGCGCCACGCACCCTGCGCCCGCCGCCTCACTCTCGCTCCTCCCCCGGGCCATTTCGTGCACCTTGGCCTGCGCGTCCGCGAGCGACGCTTCCGAGACGAGCAGAAACGGCGTGCAGTCCGGGTACCGGACCGTCGCGACGCTCCCATATTCCAACCGGCCCGCGTCGAATACGAGCGGGTCGGGCAGCGGCCGGGGGCGCGGGCGTGTTCATCACGAGCAGCACCGGGCGTCCGATGTACGCCGACAGGATCTCGGAGGGCGTGTCGCTGGGTGTCGCATCGCTGGCCGCCGCGTGCTGGACGATGTAGCCCTCGCCGGCGTGGCCCCAGAGATCGAAGTCGGAGTGCGTCTCCCAGCTGCCGAGATCGTCCGCTGTGGGGTAGAGCGGGATCGCGAATGACGGCGTTGTGGGCGAGTCGGGGAAGCTCACGCGCAAGACACCACCGGTCGGGGATGTCGGATCACGCTCAATGGTGGGGAGCACGCGCACGAGCTGCAGTTCCATCAGCTGCTGGACAAAAAATTGACACGGCGCCAGAGACTCGCCTTGATTCCGCGGTTATCACGCGCAGAGAGCTGCTTGTTCTTCTGGACGTCGACAATCATCCATTTCCGGTCCAGCTGTTCAGTTCGGGATCAAGTCACATGAATGAGAAGGTAACGGCAAACACACATCGAAGCCTTCGTTGTCGTATTCAGCTTCACTGAGCTCCACACCGACACAGCTCTGCTCAAGGCAGTCAGTCCCGAGTGCGTCGCTCCCTTGAACAACAGAACACAACCTTGATGGGATAAACCCGGATCTGGCTGATGCGCAAGTCCGCACCGTGGACGCTACCGGGTTTGCTATTCTTCTTGATTTTCTGATTCGATTTGAGATGGAGACCAGGCTATGCACGATCATCCAAGGCGCACCTCAGCGATACTCTGCTGCTCGGGGTCAGCACTGGATGATCAAACCCGTCACGGTCGAAGCATCGAACCCACCCTGCGCCAGTTCAGAGCCTGGGTGACAGCATATACGAGTGCGGCGCCTGCAGAAAGCAGGGCAGCGGCCGAACGAGCGGCCTCACCGTGTTGCTCATGGGAGTCAAGATCCAAGAAGCAAGCCGCGCACCTGGTGCGTTGATGCTTCATCAGTGATCATGGCGAGTGTGACCGTACATGTTTTCACTTATTTAAATAATCCATGAATCAATATGTACAATCAAAACGACGACTACGCGGTGAAGCCTCAAGTCCTCTTCATCAGAGCCTCCGCGCTGGACCCAGCACGAGACGGGGGCATGCTCTTCCGCTCCTTGTCCTTTTATCGCCCCGCCGGAGCAGTCTGGACATCGTCCGCGACGGTGGTGGCGGCGGCGCCATCGGCATCGGGCTGGCATGCCCGCTCTCGGAGCTCCCGGTCCCGAGCGAGCTGGATACAGATAGGGGCGGAGGCACGCTCGCCGGTAACCGCGCTGCCGCCGCGTGGTATACATATCGCATCTGCTGCTGCTGCTGCTGATGGTGTGGTGGTATTGTTGATGGGGGTGGTGTTGGGGGTGATACTGCTGCTGTTGCTGCTGCTGCTGCTGCATCTCCATCTTGTACATCTCGCTCGGCGCCATCTCCATCTCCAAGATGCTGCTGTCCGCGGAATGCCGGCGGCGGCCGCCGGTGCCGCCCATCCCCATTCCGGCTGCACTGGCCAGGGGCACTGGCGGCGGTGCTCCCGCAGCTCTAGTTTGCCGCCGCCGCCGGGACCGCGTGCTCTGGGCCCGAGAGAAGGTGCTACGCGCATCGGCGCTGCGGGCGTCAACGGACGAATGCGCCGGCGACTCCACGCTCGCTGCGTCGGGCACCTCATCCTCGTCTTCCTCCTCGCTCGAGTCCGAAAACACGACGTCCAGATCGACAGAAGCCCGGCGCGCATAGCGGATCGGGGACGGGGATCGGTCTCGGTCCACGCGCTGCTGCTGGATGCCCAGATCCCGGTCATATAGGTCTAGGTCCTGAATATCCCCGTCGCTCTCCTCCTCGTCTAGGGCAGTCGCAAACACAGGCGGCGAGAGCGTCATCCCGTCCATCTCCATGTCCCGCACTTCGCCCTCGAGCGCCGCAAGCCAGTGGTTCTTCCCTCCATCACTGCCCAACGCGCTATCCAGCATCGGCTCCTCGCTGTCGTCCCCGAGCGGATGCGAATGCATCGGCGGGGTCGTCGGCCCGCCTTCTAGTGTCGGCGATATCGGCGCCATCGGCAGCCGCCGCCGCGCCGAGACGACAACAGACAGCGGACTCGGATACGCGCTCGCGGGCGTCGTCAGCGCAGTCGTGCTCTCGCTCTCATCCGACGAACCCTCGCGCCACGAAAACGCCGGCACGCTCCGTGTCGACGACGGCGTCAGCGACTCGTTTCGCCGGCCCATCACCAGCCCAGCCGGTTTCGGCGGTAGGGGCGGCGGCGGGATCGTGTCCAGGGGTGGCGGGGGCCCTGGTGCGACAAAGGGCACACGGCTTCCCTCGCTCCCTTTTCTAACCGGGACCGGCGGAATGTTGATGCTAATGGGCCCAGAGAGGGACGATGCCCTAGGCGTATGTCCTCTTGGCGGTGGTGCAACAATAGGGGTTGCTGTCCGACCCGGGCTCGGCGGCACCATTGGCCGCGGGAAGGCACCATGACCCGACGGCGTGCGCGAGTGAGTCGGAGACGGGCGCGCAGGAGCAACTACCGGCTCATCAGACTCGCAGTCACGCTAACAAATAGAGACGCACCTGGACTGCTCGGAAATACAGAAAGACTGCTCTTCCTGCCCGGTGGGCCCGAGGCCACGTTACCTAAGGACATCGACCCGGTCAGTGTCGGCGTCTGTCTCAGCCCAGAAGCACTGGATCGATGCTGCAGACTGCTCGAGCTCCCATTGTTGGCCGAAAACAGGGTAGTTCCCCCGCTCGTTTTCCGATGCAGAGGCGGTGCACCAGATGAAATGGTCCGTTTGCGTTCTGGATGACAAGACGAAAGTCAGTCATCGTCAACGGAGGAAAACGACCTTGGAGACGAAACAAGAATCTCCGCCCGAAGCATGCATCACTGATGCAGCGAGAAATCGAATCCGAGACGCCTCCGTTTACAGCGCATCCATCAGCCACATGCACAGAAGATGCACTTTGAGAGGTGGATCAGAAGATGCCTTGGGCATATACAGTCATTCCAAATGGGGGGAGAAGCAGGAAAGCCCGAGAGCATGCGATCAGTGGATGCGACAGCGAGATCGGAGGGAGACCAGCGCAAGGGAACACAGCAGAAGGAGGCCGGAAACCATAACGCGCACGCACCAGAAGCACGCCCATGAGAATCCGCTGCGGGACGAACAGGCGCCCAAACACCCGACACGCCGTCAAATGGAGATGAGGATGCGCTCGTTGTTGATCTGGATGCGGAAGACACAGATAAACATCGCAATCAGCACAGACTACGCAATGAGGGGAAAACGCACAGGTAAGATGCCGCTGGCGAGCGTAAGCTGGCCCCAATTTCCGGCGTCCGTGGTCTGGAACCCGGCTTCGATGATTGGGATCCTGACGCAGCCGGTTGCGGTTGGGGAAGTGTGTTAGATTTCATTCTCATCGTGGTCGGCCTCGAGCTGGAGCCAGACGCCGTGGAAGGCCGTGATGTCGATGCTGATGTCGGATTCGAATGCGGATTCGGAGGTAATGGCAGCGGACGCGAGCTAGCAGCACTGGCGGGGGATACGGCGCTGGATGGTTCGGCACCTGTCGCAGGCGAAAGAGCGAGACTAGATGAAGGGACAGGCACGACGGAAGACACAGAGGGGCGCCTCCTGCTCGTCTCGCGATCCACGCTTTGTGCTCTGAAGGAAGACGACGGTGGGGGTGGGGGTGGTGGCGACCCGCCAGAATACGCATATCCCAAGCCTGAGGAGCCGCCGTTTGACGAAGATATCGAGGCAGTTCCAGCCGCTGGTGCCCCAGTGCGCCGCATAGCGTAAGAAGATGGCCCTCCAACACCATCCGGGCCTGCGGGCGGCGGCATAGGCAGCGGCCGCAGATCTTTCGGTGCAGCCATCGAAGTGCCCTTCCCACTCCCGCTGATAGGCAGCACCGCAGGCGAGCGCGTGCGCGCAGAGCCTGCACTCGCCGCGCGACGGCCGCCGAGGCCGGAAGGGGGCGGGGGTAGTACGGTTCGAGCGTGTGCGCAGGACCGTGTGTTCCATGGTGCACCACAGTCCAGCCACCAACTGTTGTGGTGGGGTAGATCGCCGTGGTCGGGGGTGTCGTCGAAGATGGCTTGTGATGGCTGTTATTGTGCATGCTGGTCGTGGTGTGTGCGCCGGTCGTGGTGTCCACCATCATCATTCCACTCCGCGAGCGAGACCCAGCTCTACTGCTTCGCCCTGGATCTCCACTTCCTCCTCTTGGCGCGCGTCCCCCAGTACCAGCAGCTGCACCCGCACTGGGTGCGATAGGCGTCCCACCGGCGGCGGCCGTAGTAGTGATCCTGTTCGTCGTTGCCATCATGGAGCGAGAGTTGGAGTCCCTGAGGCGTGGGACGTCCGTGGGCGGGTCTAAAGCCATCATCGCTGCATGCAGCGTGAAGAGAAGAGGATGCCTGAGGCTGGGATATCACGGCCGGTCGCAAACGAAATTGATTTCAGTCTCTGACAAGGGATCTGTCGTTTGTCCCCCGTGTGAGCATGATGAGACGCGATCAACGATCAACGGTCTCCGCGTCACGTCACGGACCATTCGTGACGCCCTCATCTGTTTCATCCCGTAGCGAAGTTCTAATTAGCGGCACTAACGAGGGCTGGACCTGCGCCCTGAACTGAAGGACCGCTCCGTATGTACAATATGTTCGTTTGAAGGTTCGACACGGTCGATCTGTCCGGACGACAGACAGCCACCACCACCAATCTCTGATGTGGGGCGCTCTTCTGTGGACCGCCATCTGCTCAAACACTGATTCTGCCGGCCGTCCCTGATCCAAGCATTTGGGTGTCGTGCAATGCATACTTGGGCTTGGCGCGGATGTCCTACTTACTTACTTGTGTCGACTCTCGAGCTACAGCAGGCCAACGACAGGCACCTCCCGATCGCTGACATGTCTCCTGCACCTGATAGGCGCCACGACATACATACGCTCTCTGTTAGACACCCAGTGCATATAAGAACGGTCCCTGGACCCGGACAGAAGGCAGGAAGAAACGTGTCTGCATGTTTCACACTTAGTAATGCAAGCAAGAACCGTGTAAGTACAACGGCCTGTTTAGCTTCGCCCGACGCCGGACACTGCATGTGCCTGAATCACAGTCCGTGTGACTCAGACTCAGCCTGCTACTCCGGGCAAGCGCCAGATGCGACATCGCCAACTCTCACCGCACCCCGTAACGCCGAAGCACCGACTTAAGCATGCTGCTTGCGTGAATCGTACGAGTTTCGGGCCATTCTTAGTTTTGTCGCTCCGAGCCCGATGCCTGGACATAAGGTCAGCAGGAATGCTTGGAGCGAACGCATCGCTGTTGTGATGTCTCTGATCATCCCACTCGGCAGGCCCCGCTGAGTCCAGTCCAATCGGTTGGCCCTGGAAGCAATCCATTGCACTTCCCGATACTCCTCGACATTCCAATCTCGACGACGCAAGGTATCGGGATCTCGTGACCTGGTGATCATAACTATAGTAAGATTACAAATCTATGCCCAATTTTGTGGGACCCCTGCTCAGTCTCCTCGACATCCTAGTGAAAGCTCGCCTCAACTTCCCCGGCCCCTTCATATCTTTCCTTGTCACCTCATCGCTGTGCATGTCGTCCGCTGCCTTTCTTGGTCCTGTGACTACCATGCTACGAGCACGTTCGAGTCCGGGTCTCAGGCTGTCGTCGTGAGTCTCCTCCATGACAGGGTCGTCGACGTCGATCACCATCGACAGTGCATCGTCAAAAAAGTTATCCGCATCATCTATCAGGCCCGTGGCCGGATCGTCACTTGCGCTTTGGAGATCATCGGATTCGAGAGGAGGATCTCTGGAACGTGCAGTGTTCGGGTTGCGACTGGCGATCCGGATCTCCGAGGACCACGCAATCCGGCTCGTTCTGAGCGATTTCGTCCACACTCCCACACGATCTTCGGATGGCTCTCCTCCCAGAAAATCCCGGGGATCGTCGTGGGTGTGATCCGACCACGAACTGGCTTGTTCGGTGTCGTCGTCGTCGTCGTCTGAGTGTGACGGTGGCTCTTGCGGATCCTCATCGGAACCCACGGCTCGGGCACGGTTGAATGCTGCAACCCTCTGCATCAGCAGAGCTTTGACTGTGGAAGAGGGACGCGTGAGCGCAGCACACGATGCGCTGATGAGTGGCTCACTTGTCGTGACATCATACCAGACCTCGTCGTGAGGCTCTCCGATGTCAGAGTAGAGGGAGTTCGTGTCCGAATCTGAGAGGGCATCGTATTTGACAGACATTTGGTAGCGTTCGTAGATCATAATTGGCTGGGGTGATTCCACCGAGTAGGAAACAAGAGCGCCTTATAAGGGGAATGTTCAACAATGCGCCTTGAGGATACCACGCTGCAGCAGCATTGTCCTTTCTTCCTATGTCGGCAGTCTGAAACCACAAGGCACTGTTGCCATGGCGGCCAGCACGAAGCAAAACCGTTTGTTGAAAAGTACAAAGGACCTCTGACATGTGTGGGTGCAGTGCGGGGTGTCACACAAACCGACTTCCTGCCGTTGATCCAGGTCCTGATCCGAACGCAGCCGAAGGCAGCTGTTTCTCAAGTCCGATTGATCAGAAGACGAGATGAGGTCGACTAAATCCCTTGAAAACGGGATATGTATGGCTTCTGGTGGTATTCGTCAATTACATATGTGAATAAACATGACTCAGTTGTCCTACAACTTGAGATTATGGTCGGTTCCAAGTCGTCCTTTGCGCGCGATCCTCGACTCTGAGCCTCGTTCTGGACCTTTCTCCCCGCTCATCTCTGGGTCCCGACTCCTCAAGATAGCTCCTCGGAAGTCCGTCCGGGTAGCTGTCTGTCTCACGTGATGGAACCTGAATTTCACCCTGCCCACTCAAAACCGCTCTGACCACGGACGTATAGCTGAGACAACGGTTGTCCCTACAAACAGCGATCCCGGCCCCCAAAACCAAGACGTTGCCTGGCCCCAGACAGGTCAATCCCGCCGCCCATGAGCCACTTCCTCACCAATCTCCACTTCACATTCGCCTCCCTCATCCACGACCAGCTCTTCGCCGGCCTCCGCACCCCGCAGATCCCGCTCACCGGGCGCACGTACCTCCTCACGGGTGCCGCGTCCCCGCTCGTCGTCGCTGCCGCCGTGCACCTCGCGCGCCTCAAGCCTGCGCGCATTGTCTTGGGCCACCCCGCCTCTGGCCTCGCCTCCGCCTCCGCAACCGAGGCCGAGACGCACGAGCGGCTGGCGTCACGGATAAGGAGGGAGGCGGGGGACGGCTTCACGGGCGAGCTCGACGTGTGGGCGCTCGACATGGCCGACTACGATAGTGTGCTGCGGTTCGCGGAGCGCGCGCGCGCTACTTTACTGCGCCTGGATGGGGTCATACTCGGGGAAGACTGCTGGTACGATGTGGCGCGGGAATGGCGGACGACGCAGCATGGCTGGGAACGTATGTGCGTATTGCCCGAGTCTAGGGTCGCGAGCGCTGACTGGCATGACCCAGGCTGCAAATAAATGTCGTCTCCACCGCGCTCCTGGGTCTTCTCCTTCTGCCTTTACTTCATAAGACGGGGAAGCTCGGGCTGCCCCATCCCGACGCACCAGACTTTCCGCCCCATCTCACCTTTCTCGGATCTGCCGGCACGTTCTGACTGTCGTTTCTGCCCCGCCTATTTACTGATGCTCATTTCTTTACATAGACCCGTTCTACGTCGCTTTTAGAGCTGACAATGCGCCGAGGATACTCGACGCCCTCAACGAATCTTCAACGCATATAGACCGATACGGCATGACCAAATTGGTGCTTCTTATGCTCGCGCGCCAGATGGGACAGTTGCCCATCGCCCACAAAGTCGTCATCAAGTGTGTCTCATGCAGCTCCGTGTGATGTCTCACTGCGCTGATTCTTTTTTTTCACTTCAGTTGTGCCAATCCCGGGATTGTGAGGACACAGAAGAGCCGCCTATGCGTGAGCTGCACAAATCTCCTCGCCTGGTCGCCCGAAGACGGCGCGACGAACCTCGTCTACGCCGTTCTGAAGCCGACGCCCCCGGGAGCATATCTCGCCGCCTGTCAAATCCGCGAGTGCGTGCTCTCCCGGGCTGCGTTGCTCGTTGCTTGCTGACTGGTCTCACCAGCCCCCCGATGTGGGTCAGCAGTCTGGACGGCCAACAGGCACAGCAGCGCGTCTGGTGGGAGCTGCTCGACGTCTGGATGCGGATCACACCGGAAGCGTTGGGGGTCGTCGGATTCGGCCTCAAGGGCGTACAATCTTGATTTCAATTGTCAATTCCAGCCGCTACAATGATCCTGCTTTAACCATGCCGCGGATGACGTCTACGATATGCTGCACTGTGCTGCCAATCATGCCGTCCAATTCAGCAATGCTTGGTTTCGGTTGGTCGTCGGGAATGCCTGGGACTGCATGCGACCGGTCAGCGGAGGGCTATGCCGAGTGACGTTTCGAAGGCTTACTTCCGTTTGCAAACGCCAAGGTCAGCAGCAGTTCGCCCTCAGGTCCGTACGATACGATGTTGGTGACTCGCATGCCAGAGGCCATCCGGAAGTAGATCTGCCCGTCGTGAGAGGCTAATCATGGCACGAAAGAGCATATTGCTCACGATCGCTGGGCGATATGCTATGATCTCTTCTCTGACAGGCTCGGACAAGGCGCCGATTATCACCTCTCTGACCACCTGCACGAAGTTTCTAAGCATAAGCACAATGCGCGTAATGCAGCGCCGAACGCACCCTGTCTCCGTCGTCAACGACGACTTTGCTGGACGTAATCATCGGGAGAAAGGCCTGTCGAGTCCGGCTCAAACAAACATGCCGGTCACATCTGCCCTGCCACACACCTCGGGATTCCTGACCTTGCGCTCTAAGCCTGCCCAGAGCTGTTCCTCCGTGATCACAGGCAATGTCCCAGGAGCATTAACACGGCGAGTAGCGGCGGTCGAGTGTGACATTCAAGGATGCTACAACGATTGTGCCAACAGGAGGAGGAGGCCTTATATCAATGGAAGATTGAGGATGACCAAGCCAGCATGTCAGATGGCAGCCAGACGGGCGTTCCGCTGGCCATTGGATTTGAGGTGGAGCGCATGCATTTGAAATGCGCTGGGATAGTGATTCGGGGTTCGCGGAGTCAGCTCGAGGGCCTCATCCTACCGAGATCGATAGGAGAGTGGGCACGATTCAAATGGGAGGACTCTTCTTGATAGAAACATGATGACCCAGAGGATTTACAAACCATTCAAGTAGTTGGACTGCAGAATCTGTTCGTTGTGAGGAGAAGTGACAAAATGCCGACGGAAGCATGAAACAGCCAAGCAAACTAGGAGATTCCTTTCCTTACTCAACTTGATAACCTTGATACATCAAGTCAGCTGAGGAGAATGGCGGAACGCTCGTTCATCGCAGCCTCTGAACAGAAAGGCTAGACACATCAAAGAGCATCCGGGCAAAGACGGCAGCAGATCCGCTGAGACCTTGCATCTGCAGTCAGGAACCGAGGGCCGTCTCTTGCGCTCAAGAGCGTGATCAATACAGTGTTGCCCCGTAATAGGTTGGACCACAGGAGCGATGAAGCACAAGTGAAGTGATAGGGCATGAGTAGGTTCAAGACAAGTCCAAGAATCCCAAAAAGTGCGCCAGAGACAACTGGTGCACGCCGAGTGACGCACACCATGACCATGACTATGAGTCTGGCGCTCGCGCTTTCGCTGCGGCCCGGCCGGAGACTTCAGCCAATGAGGCTTACATATTCGACTTGCATCGACCGATGACCGATCTCTCTAGATCTCTCTTCACGGACAAGACGAGCGCTGATCCGTGAAGAAAGTGCGGGTCATAGGTTCTACCAAATATAGCAGGTAGGTAGGGCAACTGAAGCTTCTGTTACTCACGACCTTCAACGCAGCCGTAAGTCGCGAGGTGAATGCGTGGTGCTTGGATCGACTCAAGTCAGTGCAGCCCTGCTTGCGCAGATTCTTATATCATCTCGAATGTCTTCGCTAGCTCATCATGGTAAGTAAGTCGGTACTTGTGGGGGTGTATTCCAATCTCGATCCCACGCGCATCATCATCTTTGACGTATGATCGCAGCAGCTCGTGTCCAGACGTCATCCTCCCCCAGGGTTCCCCGCACCCAATCATCTGCAGGGTCTTTCAGCACCAGTTGCACCAGCCGTTTATCCTCAGTGAACGGGGCCCGCGCGTCCTTGTAATACATCGACAGCGACTCCTCCGAGGAAATGATCACGAGCATCTGCAGCAGCGGGCAGTCGGCCAAGAGGATGCGGCAGAAGTTGTTCGAGCCCGCCTGCTCGCGGAAGGCGATGTGCGTCAGCGCCGGCATCCGTCCGATCCGTTCGCAGTTCTGGTAGCCCGTCGCGAACGCGTCGAGCATGTTCATGTGCGTGATCGACGCGAACAGCGGCTGCGTAAAATCGACGCGAAGCGATTGGTCCGATGGGAACAGGTCCTTGAACTGCACCGTCAGCCGGCGCAGGGGGCGGGACTCGAGCAGGGGGGTGATGGTCGGGTTCAGCGAGAAGGGGAGGTCGAAGAACGCGGTGTCTGTCGCCGCGACGCAGATCGACAGGACCTTCTCGACGAGGTCGGGTCGAATCTGGCCTATGAAAGCTATCTGTAAGGTGTGCACGCGAAATGGCGTCCACGAGCGCTCGGCTGTCGTTGTCTTGTTGCGCTTTTTCCCATCCAGAAGCTCTTGAAATAATAGGCTTTCGGGGGAAACAGAGTCGATTCGAAGCACACGGTAGATCCAAGGTTCGACCCTCGGGTCGAGATGAATCGGTGGGGGGTGTCGGCGAGGGTGGGGGACACGTACCAGTCTCGCACTTTCTTCGAAGCGAGCATCATCTTGGGCATACACCCCGGCTCGATGACTCCTGCAAGGCGCATAATCTCACGCTGCACCTCGGTCGGCAGCGGCGCCAACTTGACGTCGGGGCTTGAAGCTTTGGCCCTGGTCCGCACAGGCATGGTGGTGGGAGAGAGGGAGGGAGGGAAGCGCGAGAGGCGCACTGTGATGTCGTATCAAAGCGTCAGGAGAGATTCTTCAGTTCGTAAAGACTGATAAAGAACGCGAGAAATCACATGCGGTCGAAGGGCGGCCGTAGATCTTACCAGGGACTTGCATGTCGAGCATTATACGTGAGAAAGGGAAGGGACATATCCAGACACCGAAAATGCCGGTGGTCAGGGTGCAGTCGGGAGTAGCCAATGATATGGTTTGAGACACAGGCTAGTCAAAAGGGAACGGGGGCCGAGCCTTGCGAGTCAGCTGGCAGGAAAGTCGTGAGATCGGATAGTGATTCTTGACGAGCGTGAGGAGACGTCCTAGACTCTTACCGAGAGTATGAATAAAGGAGCGAAGGCCTGGAATCAAATAATCCGGCCGCTTCCGATATATCTGCTTATAGAGTTCTTCCGAGCTTCCGGTCAGCATGAACTAAGGAATGAGTGTGGAATTTGGCAGGATCCTCACGAGCCAAAAGGATTAGAATGAATACTGAATACAATTGGAATGATTACGCGAAAGAGAATACAGCGGAGGCATAATAATACGTGGTATAAGACAGCGGCAAGGACGCGAGACGGGATATAACACATCTTCGTGACAGAGCAAGTCCGCATAGCCGTCTTTAGTCAACCTCCTCGACACTCGGTTCCTCGCCTGAAGCTTGACCCGATGGAGCAGCCCCAGGGGCCCCAGCACCACCATATAGCTTCTGCATGATAGGATTGGCAACGGCCTCCAGCTCCTTCTGCTTCTCCTCATACTCCTCCTTGGAGCCCTCCTGCGATGCATCAAGCCACGAAATAGCTTCGTTGACAGCAGCCTCGAGCTTCGCCTTTTCGCCCGGCTGGAACTTGTTTGCGAGATTCTCGTCGTTGATCGAGTTTCGGAGGTTGTAAGCGTAGGATTCGAGCCCGTTCTTGGCCGCGACACGGGAAGCAACGGCTTCGTCCTCAGCTGAGAAAAGAGTCAGTCGTTGTAGAAGATATGACTAGAGCAAAGCTACACACCTTTGTACTTTTCAGCCTCGTTTACCATGCGATTGATTTCCTCCTGCGACAAACGGCCCTTGTCGTTGGTGATCGTGATGCGGCTCGACTTGCCCGTCGTCTTGTCCGACGCAGAGACATTGACAATCCCGTTCGCATCGATGTCGAACGTGACCTCGACCTGCGGAACACCACGAGGAGCCGGAGGGATGCCCGAAAGCTCGAACTTGCCGAGCAGGTTGTTGTCCTTCGTCTGCGCACGCTCGCCCTCGAACACCTGGATCAACACTCCGGGCTGGTTGTCGGCGTACGTCGAGAACACCTGCGTCTTCTTCGCCGGGACCACGCTGTTCCTTGTGATCAGCGGCGTCATCACTCCGCCGGCCGTCTCGATGCCGAGCGAGAGCGGGGTGACATCGAGCAGCAGCACGTCCTGCGTCTTCTCGGACGTGTCGCCGGAGAGAATCGCGGCCTGGACGGCTGCGCCGTACGCGACCGCCTCATCGGGGTTGATGCTCTTGTTGGGCTCCTTGCCGTTGAAGAAGTCGGACACGAGCTTGACCACCCGTGGAATCCGCGTCGACCCGCCCACAAGCACGATTTCGTGCACGTTCGCCTTGTCGATCTTCGAGTCGCGCAGGACCTTCTCCACAGGATCCAGAGTCGACCGGAAGAGGTCGCCGCAGAGCTCCTCGAAACGGGCCCGCGTGAGAGACGTGTAGAAGTCGATGCCCTCAAAGAGCGAGTCGATCTCGATCGTAGTCTGTGCGGCGGAAGACAGCGTGCGCTTGGCCCGCTCGCAGGCCGTGCGCAGGCGACGGATTGCACGCAAATTGGTCGAAAGATCTGTTAGACAGTCAGCCATTGCTCTTTCGCCCGTCAAACAGTGAGACGCACCTTTCTTGTTCTTGCGTTTGAACTCCTGCACAAAGTGGTCGACCAGACGGTTGTCAAAGTCCTCGCCACCCAAGTGCGTGTCTCCGGCAGTAGCCTTGACCTCAAAGACACCGTCCTCGATGGTGAGGAGCGACACGTCGAACGTTCCTCCGCCGAGGTCGAAGATGAGGACGTTGCGTTCCGCAGCGACCTTCTTGTCGAGGCCGTAGGCGATAGCCGCGGCGGTAGGTTCGTTGATGATGCGAAGGACGTTCATTCCCGAGATCGTGCCGGCGTCCTTTGTCGCCTGGCGCTGGGAATCGTTGAAGTAGGCCGGGACCGTGACGACCGCGTTCGTGATGGTGCCGCCGAGATACGCTTCAGCCGTCTCCTTCATCTTGAGGAGCACCATAGAAGAAATCTCTTCAGGGGACTGTGGCTGAAGTCAGTTTCGAGTCAAAGCAGGGGAGCAAGGCGGACGCACGAATTCTTTCTCTTCCCCTCGATACTCGACTCGGATGTAGGGCTTGCCGGCCTTGCTGAACACGGTGAAGGGGAAGTGCTTGAGGTCAGATTGCACCTCCGCGTCGTCGAACTTGCGGCCAATCAGACGCTTGGCGTCAAATACACTGAAAGAGCGTCAGTAAGGATATCTCATCTCAAGGGCGCAGGGTAGGACATACGTGTTGCGCGGATTCATTGCGACCTGGTTCTTTGCGGCGTCACCGATGAGACGCTCGCTGTCAGAGAATGAGACATATGAGGGCGTCGTGCGATTGCCCTGGTCGTTGGCGATGATTTCGACACGATCGTTTTGCCAGACGCCGACACATCTGTGCATAGTTAATATTTGGTAAAGAATAACCAAAAACAACATACGAGTAGGTAGTGCCCAGGTCGATTCCAATAGCTTTCGATGAAGACATCGCAGAGAGATGGTTAGATATGAGAAGATGGGAAATGGGCTTGTAAGAAGAGAGGAAAGAATGAAGAGAGCTGCTGCGAGACCGTCAGCTAATATACCCACTCCATAGAATGTGCGCGAAATGAGTGGAACGTCGGTGGGGGGCTGCGCGCACAGGGTGGAATGTCATGGAACCGAGTGGAATGCCGTCGAAGATGCGAGAATGAACATGATAGACCGGGACCCAAACTACCACAGAGCTCCGGCCGAATTTATGGGCTAGTCTTCGACATGCTGAACTGGTCCCGATGCTCAGAGCGTCAGCTCGCGATGCATGACGTATGCGACATATGCGTTGAGCACGAAGGCCACTGCACGAATCGGACGTGCGTCGAGGCAGGTCACGGAAAGCCCTGTGTCATGTGATACTGTTCGGTCTCTGTTCAGCTAGCGCATATGGTGCGCAAAACTTGAGGGCGTCGGCCGTCGTGGACGAGCAGCGACAAGGCATGCCAGTCATTCCACGAGTCATCTGATCGTCAGTCCTCCACAGGATCACATGACCATATTCGCGTCTATCGCGCTTGCTGTGATCATATTCATCTATGGAACTTCGTTCTTAGTCTCCCACCAGGTAACCCTTCCATTACAATATATCAACCGAATAGCACCTCTTTCCCGATATTTATGTGTGCAAGCTTCAGTCTGGACTTCATTATAGATCGACGCTCATGGACACAGATATTGATTTGCATCTAAATCGCCTCATCATAACGCCTCCTCTCTCCGTTGTTCACGAAGAACAAAGTTTTCTCAGCTGAGATTCATTTGGTACTGGTGTCTGCTTTATTCCGTAAGAGAGCCCACCCTTGATGATTTACTTATTCTTCCGTCTTGAACTCGACTGAGATGCAGGACTGAGCATCAGACGTCGAGAAATATTCAAGACTCAAGCGGCCGCGCAAAAGAAATGGTGATTTATCTGTGGGGAAGATCCAAGCAAGACAAGATCTATTAGATAGAGATTGTAGGAGGTAAGTGCCGAGTCGAAAAAAACGTGCGACCGTGATTCGAAAATTCTTCATTCTATCGAACTAAATACGATGGTTTAATTTCAGATATTGACCAGCATATCAATATGCAAAGACTGCTTTGGCGCTTGGAAGTCTGTGAGCGTTGGTGACGATCGTGATCTCGTAACAAACTTTCCTGAACCAACATCAAAAGCGACGGAAGGCCATGGCCGCGAGTCAGATCTTCTTTCTAATAGAATGCCTATGTCAGAGAAACCTCCCACAGAGCATCCCAATAGTTCAGTGACAACATATCACTTCCGTCAACTGATCAGTTGGTGACAATCAACAACTCGGAGTCAAATCGCCCTAGGGGGAGGGGGCCTCGCCTGAGCGGCAAGACAAGCCCGTGCCTTAGTGTCCGAAGCTGAGATTTCCTGCTGTGTGTCTCTGATCCAGACTTGAAAATATATCTTGACCGCATCATATTGACCGCTTCGAATCTGCTGCCTTCTCGAGGCTCAAGATGGAAATGCAGAGATGAAAGTCTCTGCATTTTTCTAGCGAACGACGCCGTGTTATGACTGCAAATCCGTAGACGGCCGACTTGAAAGAATGACTCATTTCGGGATCTTCTTGAATATATATATATATATTGAAATCCACTTCATGCGTCCAAACTTCAGAGATGTGAAACGAGACCAGTTCAGATATGATTGACTTGAGAGCTCGCGATCGCTTTGGAGAGGATCACTGCAACATCGGACAACAATGCGTCAATCAACCATAACAACACGCTAATCTTCGTTTGGTCACGGCTGTCACACCAACTCGCTCCTTGGTCTTAACCACCACCACCGACTCCGCAGTCGCTCCTCAAGACTTTATCCCTACACACTTCTCATACTCAATCAACATGTCAGGCCGTGGCAAAGGTGGCAAGGTGAGCAACTCGCTTGGCTTCAAACTCTGAGTTTACTGACATTGCACCTCGTCGTGTCGTAGGGTCTCGGAAAGGGCGGAGCTAAGCGTCACCGCAAGATTCTCCGTGACAACATCCAGGGTGAGTCGTCGCTCCCATCTGCTTGCCTCGCCTGTTGTTCCTGACATCTCGCTCAGGTATCACCAAGCCCGCTATTCGTCGTCTCGCTCGTCGTGGAGGCGTGAAGCGTATCTCCGGCCTCATCTACGAAGAGACACGCGGTGTCCTCAAGATCTTCCTGGAGAACGTCATCCGTGACTCCGTCACATACACTGAGCATGCCAAGCGGTACGCTCGATCTTCTCCTACGCAGTCTCCTTCGCTGATTCCACCTTACTCGCTGTCCACAGTAAGACCGTCACTGCCCTCGATGTGGTGTATGCTCTCAAGCGCTCTGGCCGCACGTTGTACGGTTTTGGAGCCTAGACGTGTATCGCAATGGTCACTCGGTGCTTGCCGACCGGTCTGCCCAAGCTGACCACTGCTCACACCCGTCATTTGTTACATGTATTGCAACCATGTTTCCTGTATTGTTATTGTACATCTCTAAATACTTGATTGCCTACGCAAGATAACAGATGAGAGCCCTGATTCGCCTCTTCACAACTGATCAGCTTAAGGCGCCCAGGTGATGAACTACATCCCTCTGAGTCTATCACAGCATTAATGGGGTAGTGGTAACCTGGGTCGTTGCCATGCGATACATAGTATCGACCCGCCGGGGGTTCGATTCCCCCTTAATGCACATATGTTTTTTGTGTGTTTCAAGTGGTCTCACATCTTCATTCGCACTGCCATAACGTCGACTTACTTTTCATCGCTTCGTAATCATTTCATTGCATGAAACCATGGCAGACGAATACACTTTCTTATCGTCGTCGACATCAATTTCGCGCCTCCACAGCAAGGGCGTGTCCTTCACGCAGTTCAGTATTGTATAAACCGGATGAGCTCTCGCGCAGACTCTCCATCGACCCTCTCCTCCCGCCACAGCCGACCGATCTTAGCAGCAGCCTCCCGCAGGCCCTTGCCTTTGGAACCTTTCAGTGCCGCGAAGGTCTGCGCGAACTCCGTCTTAGCGTCTTCAACCGTGCCAGTGATCTTCGGCGCCTCTGGCCGGAGGGAGGGGCCCAGCTGTTTTCCTGCCCGGATCTATTGTGGTGGGGGTATGCACGATCAGCGTCGGAGAGGTTCAACCACTGCCTGCACTTGCCTGGAAGAGTTCGATCCCGATGGCATGCGGCTCCTGCGAGAACACGGCTGCGTTGACGGCTTGCTCTGCGCCGATGGGCCAGAAGATGAGCGGGATGCCCTGGCTGAGGGATTCCGTCAGCGAGCTGCAGTTCGAGTCAGTTGTTTCATTCAGCTCGCGGAGGGAAGAGGGCTGACTTGTATCCGCCGTGTGTGAGGAACCAGCCGATGCTGCCGCTCTGCAGGATCGCCTTCTGGTCGACCCAAGAGTCACACACGAGTCCCTTGCCGCTGTCGTGGATCCGGTCGATCGTCGCTTTCGGTAGAGAGGCCATCGGCCCGGCGAGCACGAACACAAACGGGATCGGCGTTTCGAGGTCCAGAAGGACGTCGATCATCGCTTCCACCAAGTGAGGGGTTGCGACGGGGAAGAAGAAGGATCTGCATTCATTGGAATCGATCGGTGGGACTGTAGAGAAGGACGCACCCAAAAGAGATGTACAGCACGGAGCTCGCACCGTACTTCTGCACCGCAGAATCCAAAAACGATTTTATGGTCGTGTCGTCCGGGCCCGGACCCACAGAAGGAGCGGCCCAATCCTTCTCAGACATTTGGGGGCCCAGCAGGAAGAGCTCCTGGTTGCGCTTTGCGAAATAGCTGCGGGAGTGTTCCGCCCCAGCAGGCTCGAGTGGGCTGCTCCCGGCGCAGAAGAACCCGTCGACGGCCTGTGCCATATCCTGCGCAGAGACGAGGACGGGTGCAAGCTGACGCGGGCCGCCGGCCCCGAATGCGGTGTGCTCATGGTCGTAGATGTCGAGGATGCCCGCGATGCTGATGGTGCGGCCGTCCAGTTTGTCCGATCCGTTCGAGGACTCGATGACCTGCACAGGGAACGGGAGGGTCAGGTCGGCGATCCATGCGTGGGAACCGAACGCACATCGCCCATGATGTCCTCCATCGAGCGTCCCGCGCGCCGGGTCTCGTCCGCGAAGATCGCACGCGAAAGGTCGCCCAGGTTGCCGCCGAAGTGGTCCGCGATGCTCGTCACGCCTGCGGAGCACCACATCAGGATCTTCCCGTCGGGCCCCAGCATCGCCTTTGTCGGCGGGAAGGCGAAACAGCCGCCGAAAAAGTCCATCTGGCGGAGAATCACGGCGAGTTCGTGCGCATAAGACGTGCACAGGCAAAGACTCACATGCAGGGTGCGCGGCTTGGGCCATGGAGCCGCGGACTCTCCCAGAACCTTGCCCAATGTCTCCAGCCACCCACCCACGAGTTGCTCGGTCGCTTCTTTCAAGAAGGCGGGCGACATGGGAACACTGACATCGCTGTGAGGAGAATCGAAAGGTGATTGGAGTATATGCGCACCCCTTGACACCGACGCCCACGATCTTCAAGCGATCCCGGTCGTACGTGCACGAAGCCAGCTCCTTCTCCATCATCGGCACTGTAGGTGTGATGCCAAATCAGGTTCAATCGTCCGGCGACGCGGTGTGCTCACCGAGGAGATTATGTTGGACGATAGTGATTACCAGCTCGGAGTCCGCACTGAGCATGCGCACAGCGAGCTGGATGTAGGGCAGAGAGTGGCCCCAAGCCGGGGCCAGCAGCGTCATGATGTGTCGGGGAGCCATAGTCGTTCGCGTTGGTGGTTGCTTGTAACCTGGAAATCATACTCCCAGTCTCCAACCCTTTTATGCGATCACGATGAGAGAAGATCAGAATTCCAGTCTATACTTACCCGCTGATATAAATGGTGTTCAGCGTAGCGTGGGCGCTGATCTGCTACCATCCATATCTGGGCGCTCAGCGCTTGGACAAATAGATTGGGCGAAAAAGGGAAGTTTCTTTGGTTTAAGGACCGAAGGCACACTGCCTGCGTTGTCAGAGATATAGCGAGCGAGCACTGCGTGACCCTCCATGGCTGCGAGTTATTAGGAGGTGAGAAGTAACCTTGATCGGTTGTGGGCGTCCCTCCTGCACCGCCACTTAATTCGATGACCCCCCCTGTATGACATCATGAGCGTGTCTTGGATGTAGCATTGTATCGTATGTACAGTTACAGCAGAGTAGTACTGCGAAGCGGAAGAATTACACTAGATTATTCAGAATCCGACGGTGCTGAATCCCACATCATCTCCCAATCCGATTCCTCCGCATCTGTCCAGGAGAGAGCAGAATTTGAGCGTGTGGACACACAGGACGGTGAAGGCGATTTTGATCCAGCAGAAGAAGATGATGAGAGCTGATATAGCTCGAGACCCACCCGTTCTGCAGACTTTGCACATTGATCTAGCTCTTCGGGTTCCGCGCATTGGATGCTGCCGATATCGCCTGGAATGTCGTTCATCTCGGCCAGGGCAGTGTCGCTGACGGTGCTTGACTTGTTAACGTCGTCAGTGTCGCCCCGCTGTTGCTCAGGAAGCGGCTCAGAGTGCACCGGGCATTCTTGCGTCTCGCTCGGCCCGTCCGTCGCGACCATCGCCAACGTGCTGACGTCCTGCCACTGGACAGCCAGCGGGTGGAAGAACGCGCGTCGCATTATGCTATCGTGTCGGAACCCCCTGCACGCAAATAAGCAAAGCGACCTGTCACCACAGGAGACTGGAAACGTACATTTTCTGGAGCAGTAGGGAGATGGTCCCTTTCGGCTTAGCATTCAGTGGCGTGGCCTGAACGCGGTGGCTCTGGAGGTCCTGGAACGCATGGGCCAATACGGCTTGCAACACGCGGCGTCCGAAGTCCTTCCACCTGTGCGACGCTTCGAGGACGATGCCGAGGTTCAGTCCACCATCTGGGCCAGCGGGTGACAGATACACAATTCCGATGGCCTTGTAGGACTGGGCGGTTATCGGCGCGGAGGAGTTCTCTAGGAAGACTGAAATGGCGCGCTCCTGAGTTGAGGATTGCATCGACAGTCTATTTAGAGGCGAGGCTGACGACCATCAGTATCTATCGTGGATAAACAAGTGCAGCTTGCGCACCAATTGGAAGTGGGCCGGGCCACACCACCCTCTCTGAATCAGACCCCCGCGTTTGAATATTTGTCTCCAGCACACGGCCATCGCCCTGGGTCCGTTTCTTCGCAGCCCTTCTCGTCTTCTTCTTTCCCTGTCGCAACTCGGCAAACTTATAGCGGACTCTGTCCGTAGTCGATTTAGACTGCTCTCGAACGTCGCTTTGATCATCCGTGGCCAGCAGAACGACGCCGAAGTAGCACGCACTGCCCGCGAATGCCAGCAGCTCGCAGTCCGCCGCCTCGCATGTGCTGCGGTGCAGCTCATTCCAGAGGAGGCGCACTGCGGCAATGTGCGTGGGTTCCAGCCCGTCCAGTCCATTGCGCACGATGAGAGTGGTGGGAGTCGGGGAGCGGGGTTTGCTCGCACTGGACATGAAGTGTAATAATCCCTGCATGGTCGATACAAGTTGGAGAGGCAGAGAGTCGAGTGGTCTATAGAATTTTAACCGAGGCGCCTTACATTATAAGCAGAAACATAGAGACGCCGGGCCTTCCTTTTGACTCGGACTCGACGGCGTCTAGCTATTACCCGCTCGGGCTCTGGTTGCGAAACGGGAGGCAATCGGCTACACCTGAATCCTGATTGAGCACGAATGAGCAGAAGTTCAGAGGCCGGATTCATTCAGGATCAGCGTCTCTAGCCGCGATCGAATCAGAGGAGCAAGATCGAGACGATTGCTGGGGCCATGAGGATCGTACTGAATGGCGCACCCCAGGAAGCGGCATTGCCAACGATGATTCGGGAAACTAAGCCTGACTGTCACGTATTCTACCATCAGTCACAGAAGTCAATTTGGGCGTCTTCGACTGTAAGTGACATTTGTAGCTTATACTGTTATCGGTTGACAACCGCAACCTTACGGGTCGTGGAAGGATGCTAGACGATCAATTTCGTGAGATCGATCAAGAACGGAACGTTTTCGCAGCCATTTGCGGTACAAACAACCTCTGGCCGTGGAAATGAGTTAGCAACGACCTCTCGGCAGGTGAGAATCCTCTAATCTTACTGACTTTGAACTCACCCTCTGGAGGCAGGTGCATTAGGACGTGCGTTCGAGCTATGTGATCCCGATGTATGCACTCCAGCGATAGAATGAGTGCACTGCATTCTAGTTTCAAGACAAGAATTGTCTGGTAGCAGCACTGTTAGTTTCCGCATACAGTGTAAAAATCCGGTCAGCAACATCCTCTGTCTCCTCCTCTCATCGTCTCCTCGCCATGCAATCCCGCCGCAGCGTACCGCTCATACGCCTCTTCGCCAAACTCCTCCCGGTCCTCCTCCTGTCTGCGCCGGTGCAGCGCCAGCACATCGGGCATCATCGCAACCGGGCCGCGCAGGGTTCGCGCCGACGGCAGCCGCGGCGGGGGGAGGCCGGTCTCGTCCAAACAGCGCTCAAACAGCTCCCGCAGCGACCCGCCACGGTCGATCTCGAAGACCCCCGCGCGGCCTTCGCGGGCCGCGGCCATCTGCGCACGGGCCGCGGTGGTCGGCGCGAGGTCGACGGCGCCGGTGGGCGTGAGTTGCACGCCGTAGTGACGCGCGCCGGCGGGTGTGATGAGGCCCTCGCGGACCTCGCGGGCGACGAGCTCCGCCGATCGGAGTTCTGGGGCACCCCAGCCGCCGCCGCCCCAGGTGCACCATTCGAGGACGTCGCCCGGCTCGACCCTGACGTGATCCGCCTTGCTCTTCAGCGCGACGCGCGCGCCATCAGACTTCCTGACCAGCACTTTGCTCGATCGCGCACCCGGCAAGCCACCGTTGACACCCCACGGCTTCGTCAGCCAGCGGTCGTCGTGCAGGGACACCTCGCCCGGCGCCCGGAACACATAGTCGATCCGCACGCCGTTTCCGCCACGGTGGAGCCCGGCACCGCCCGAGTCCGGGATGAGTGCATAGCGGTCGACGAGCAGGGGGTAGTATAGCTCGAGATACTCGTTCGGGACCGTCTTCATGCTCGGGAACAGCGAGTGTCCGTCCAGGCCGTCGCCGACCGGCCGCCCGGGCACGCCGCCGAAGCCGATCTGGTACACCTGGAACCACTCGCCCGCCTGCCAGCCCGAGTAGAAGAAGTGCGGGCTGTCGCTGTACCCTGCCGCAGTCATCATCAGCGGCTGGCGCTGGCCGAGCGTGCCGATCATCAGGTCCAGCGTCCGTCCGAGGAGATGTGTGCGGCAGGAGAGGCCGGCGGGGCGGACGGGGTTGAGGAGGGTGCCTCGGGGGATGCGCACATCCATCAGATCGTATGCGCCGTCGTTGAGCGTGATTGACGGGTCCAAAGCCTTGATCAGATACGCCGATGACCGCCTAAGTAAGTGTCAGATGCGGTGCCATACGAAGGGGGAATGGTTCACCACGCACATCTTCCATGTCGTTGGCGATAGCAGCCAGTTCACGCTGCTCTCCGCCTGCGGGTCCGTGCCATCAAAATCATACACCAGCCTCTCCTCCTCGACCCCATTCTCCCCCACGAACACCTCCTTGAACATCGCACAGCGGACCTTCCACGGCCCCCACCCCGTTCCATCATCGTCCATCCAGTCCTCGAAACTCATTTTCACATCTGCCGGGATCTTCGTCTTGAGCAGCACCGCAAACGCAGCCCGGTTCCGCGCCAGGAGCGAGTCTAGCGCGTATGCGAACCGATCCACGCCGAACCGCGTGCACAGCTCTGTGATACGCTCTCCGGCAATCCGGCACGCGGCCACCAAGGCGTGCAGGTCTGCGCGGGAGAAAGACGGGGTACGAGAGTTCCGGATAATGATCTGGACTAGTTGTCGCTTTTCTCTCATACGTATGAGTGAGAATCACGCACATTCTGCAATGCGCTATTCATCTTTCCACCCTCGTACAGCTTGCTCAGTGGAATCTGGATCCCATCCTCAAAGATGGAACGTGCGTTGATCGGAAGAGACCCAGGCGTTTGTCCGCCCACGCTGCGTTCGTGTGAGTAGAGACGATAGAGCAAATACGGAACACGCACTCGGTGAAATGCCCCTGATTAGCCACCCATCCGACCCTCCTAGCACCAAAGTACACCGGCATCATAACGAGCATGTCGTTGAGGTGCGATATACCGCCCCGCACTTCGTATGGATCATTGGTGATAAAGACATCTCCGGGGTCGATTGTAGAGGTCCTATGGCATATCTGAGGCTATGTCGCCCAGCTGGCTTGCATGACGTACCAGATCTCCAGAAAGTGGCCGATATACGACCCAAACTGGCCGATAACCATCTTCCCCTCATCTGTTGGTACCTCAGAACAGTCGCTCTCGTTCGTAGCAGACACGCACTGGGGCCTTCGCCGGCGGATATCATCGGGAAGTAATCCAGCTGCTCTCGCCTGTCGCATTTTCCGGTCAGAAGGAATACAGCAAAAACTCGCAGTAGCTCACATGGCAGGCGAAAGCGCCGTGCGCTGAATCAAGCCGTCCATCTCCAACCGCGCGTTCGCCAGCGCGGCTTCAACGATCTGTGTGACGATCTTCTGGTCCTGCTGTGGCTTATCTTCCTCTGAGATATTCCCGGCAACGGCTTGGCCCGGCGGATACACGGTTTCTTGCGGCCAGATGAGGATGTTTCCCCACCCGTCGATCTCCGCGCGGTGGTCCGGCAAGAGTAACGTATTGGCGTCCATCTGGTTCCATTGCAAGCTGAACAAGGCGGCGCGTGTGATGCAAACCTACGCACCTCGCTGATGATCCCCGGCCCGCTGAGACGGTCTCCTGCGCATAGCTTGGCACGATCCCAGATAGGCGCATCGGTGTAGGTGTGTCCAGACCAGTACATCTGCGTCCGCCCCATCAGGGCATCGTCCATATCCCCCTCACGCTCCGGCAAGACGGGCAGGATGAGCGGATCGGCGATCTCCTCCACACGAGCTCGCAGATTGATCAGCTCTACAGGAAGCGGGAGGGTGTACGTGAACTGGGTGTTGTGGTGCGCTGTGAATCTGAATCGGCCGTGAATATCGATGCAGTCTAGTGACAAGGACGGCACACACCGGTCCTGTATGATCTGCATCCCCTTCTCCACAAGCTCATCGACGTGGAACACAACGGGAAGGCTCATCGCTTGGCCCGTGTACCGCATATCCGCTTCCCAGCTGCAAGATTGGCGTTCCTGTGCTACTCCCTGTTTCTCAAGCACTGCCGCCGCCTCGCGCGCCAGATGCCTACATACATCAATCACATCCCTGGCCTCGGTCATCCCATTGCACGTCCGACCCACTTCGTGCCGCAGGCCGACCACCGCGTCGCCGAAGGCACACAGCACACCGGGGCTGGGCGGGACGATAGCGGGGTAGCTCCCGAGCAGCTGGGCGAGGGCGCACACGTGTGTCGGGCCGGCCCCGCCGAATGCAACAAGACTAAACGCTCGCGGATCGAGGCCGCGTTCGAGCGACACGCTCTTCAGGGCACCGAACATCGTCTCGTTAGCGAGCGCGATGATCCCTGCGGCTGTGTCGAGCAGCGATAGCGATAGTGCGGTACTGAGGGGGGCCAGCGCAGCATGTGCAACCGCAGTGGACAGCGGGAAGGTGTTGGAGAGAAGGGTCGGGGGGAGAAAGCCTAGCAGCAGATTCGCGCTTGATTGAATCAGAATAGATTGGATTGGATCAGATGCAGAAGACACACTCAGTGACGGTGGGCTTTGCCCCACCCTGCCCGTACGCCGCGGGCCCAGGTACCGCCCCGGCACTTTCCGGCCCGACCCTCAGTGCCCGTGTCACGTCGGGCACATGCGCGACGCTCCCCCCGCCTGCGCCGACGGTGCGCACATCCACCGACGGCGCGCGCACAGTCAGATCGCCCACCGTCGTCTCGCGGCGCAGCGCCGGTGTGCCGTCCTGGATGAGACACACGTCCGTCGACGTCCCGCCCATGTCGAACGTCAGCAGATTCGCGTAGCCGCATTTGCGCGCGACGAGCGCCGCGACGCCGGCAACACCCCCTGCCGGGCCGGAGTAGAGCAGATTCGCACTGAATTCGGTGGCGAGGGCGGGGCTCGTCAGGCCACCGTCGGATCGGAGGATGCGGATGTCGGCGGTGGGCAGCCCGGCGGTTAGCTGCATCAAATACGCTGACACGCGCGGGCGCACCATGGCACTGACGACGGCGGTGAGGGTGCGTTCGTACTCCATCAGCTCTGGGAGCACGTTACTCGACAGCACGATCGGCACGTGCGGGAACTCCGCCGCCAGCACTGCCGCCGCCGCCTGCTCATGTGCGGCGTTGGCGAACGAGTTGATCAGGCTGACAGTGAACGCCTCGGGGTTGTGCTGTTTCAAGCCTTGCACCCGCTCCCGAAATACCTCCGCGTCGAATGGCCGGACCTCGCTCCCGTCGATGGCGAAACGTCCGGGGCATTCGATCGTCTGTTGGATCCATCAACGCTTGGACACTGTCTCAGTGCGTTGCCCACGCACCATCTCGAGGCTCACAACCGGACGCTGCTTCGGATACACCACCCACGCACCCAGCCCACCGGGCACCTGACTGCGTCTCAAAACTAGCGTGTCCCGGAACCCCTCTGTCGTCACCAGCGCCACCCGCGCACCGGTCCCTTCTAGTAGCGCGTTCGTCGCCACCGTCGTTCCGTGGTGCAGTGCATCAACCTCGATCTCTTGCACGTCCTCCTCCTTAGCTAGCACACTGCCGGCGACGTCAGGTGGATCGACGTCTCAGATAGAACACCGACACACCGCAGACGGTCCACTGCAGACAGAACCCCACGCGCCTGATTGTCGGGGGTCGATGGGATCTTCGTGCGGTACGTGCGTCCCGTATGAGGGTTGTAGAGAATACCGTCAGTGAATGTGCCTACGAGCGCTCAATGCAACATTCAACATTTCGCTTTCGAGATTCGTGACGCACCACCCACGTCGATCCCGAGCCTCCACTTCGTTTGCATTTCCGTCATCTCTTCAACAGTGACACCTATCGCAGCGATTCTGTTATGTAGGGGCACGATGGCGATGCAGCGGAGATGGCTTAGGTCGAGATAGCGGGTCCCGGGCGCGCGTACGATGATCACCGAGATAGTCAGCCGATGCACCAACTAGTCTCAAAGAAGATGTCCAAGTAAAGATGGAGAAGCCAACACGAACCGACGCGACATGAGAGCAAACATCGACTGGTGGGAACGAGAAGGCAGTTGAGGATGCGCAAGATAAGTGACTCGCGGCCGCCGTCGATAATCAAGGTCTCTCCCCCCATTTTCGACGAAGCAGGCGCGGCCTACGATGGGAAACAATAGTACATACAAACTAAGCCGGTGGATTCATAACTGCTGCGGAAATTATCCTCGCCCTGCTCGCCCCTGTGCCAGAGTTGCCGATGCGCATTCATTCTACATGGGCCAGTGATATTGATATCAAGGTATAATGGGCGGGCTCCGAGTTCGTCGTGCGAGTTGTTGGGACGGATATGGTAGCAGAAGCAGAAACAGAATGTGGGGCTCGATCGGCAGACTCGGCATTCGGATTTGAGGTGCCTGCACTGCCACTCAGGAGCTGTAAGGTCCGCAGTCACAGAATAAGTGCGTTGCTTGTTTTCCGTGTAGATATACACTCAAAAGTACACGATCCATTCAACCAGGTGGCTTGGGCTGGACTGGACTGGCCTTGTCTCGAATCGAATGTGCATCAACCACTTCTCGTTGTGCCCATCTCAGCCAGGTCCACTTCCCAATCCGATGGAAGAGGAGAGTCCGAGGGATAATCGAAAGCAGACCAAGACGACGACGCCACCGAGACAGCCGGACTGGTTGATCGTACACTCTCAAGCCCCACCGAGCGCCTTTCCCCGAAGTCTGAGCGGTCGGGACTTGTATCTACCCACTCCGCATCAGACGTGCTGGAACATTCGCTCTCTGGAACCAAAGGCACCACGTAGCGCACCGTCTCAGTGCTGTTACTCCGCTTGCGCTTGTGCTGATGGGAGTCGTCCCATTTGAGCAGTGCCTCGCGCTCTCGAGAGTGCCGCAGGAACAGCTCATCCCAGAGGGTGGAGGGAGCCGGTTTGTACCGCCCCCGATTCAGCCAGTCCGTCGCAAGGACGCCCATGGTCGTGAGATCCTGCCACTCAGCAACAACCGGGTGGAAGAACGCAAGTCGTTTCGTCCCCTCGTGCCCAAAACCCCTGGACACAGTTCAGGAACAAACCTTTCGGGAATCGGTAGAGGGACGCACAGTTTCAAGAGCAGCGAAAACATCAATCCCCACGGCTCGGCACCGAGCAGGTTCGCCTGTACACGGTGACACCTAATGTCGTTGAACGCTTGATTCAGAACCACCTCGAGAACGCGGCTGGCGAAGCTTTTCCGCCGATGCGACTGGTCGATGACGATGCCGAGGTTCAGCTCGCCTACTTGCTTTGGCGGGCAGCTGCCCAAAGGCGTCAGAGTCAAGTACACGATGCCGATGGCGGAATATGGCTTGGCTGGTTTTGCGTTCAGAGAGACTGTGATGATGTCGGGCTTCGGGGACAGGTCAGACTGTTTGGACGATTGAGATGTGGCCGCTACTGTCTTATCGGTCAGCGCTGGAGAAGAGTCATTCCGGGAAACAACTTGCCGAAATGAAGACCCTCGTTCTGAGCGTCTGCGCCCTTGCCCTGCCCACTCTCAGTCCAATTCGCTTCGAAGTTCCCCGGGGATCTGCGACCCAGCTGTCCATAGCCCTCTTCCATCTCCTCGCTAACAGCATTCTCGTATTCCATCCCAGCATCCTCATCTACCGGCCAATCCCTCTCCAGCAACACGACGCCGAAGAAGCAAGCGCTCTGTGCAAACGAGACCAGATCCACTTCAGCCGCCTCGCACGTCACGAGCCGCAGATCCTCCCAAAGCGCGAGCAGTGTGTCGATGTGGTCATCCAGTGCGCCGAGACCCTGGTGGAGGACGAGGTGCGCCTCACTAGACGCCGGGACAGACTCGGGTTCGGGCGTTTTGGATCCGTGCATGGGGGACGTGGATGAAGTGGTCGGGCAGACACGAGTAGAGGTTAATATGAGGTCGGAGCCAGTGGCACGTCAGGGACAAGGCTCGTATAGAGACTTAGACGCCCATCGAGCGCCTGCACAAGTAACGTGGCCGGGAGAAGATCGCGGGCCAGCTGATGCTGCAGCCGTGCTGTCCCTTGCTGTGCTCCGCACTCCGGCGAAACGTGACTGTATTCATTTCTGGAGAGAGACTGAGTGACGAGGATCTGCGTCACTCCAAATCCGATGCAGCTGTTGTGGTTGACTGGTGAGGGCAGTGGATGTGCGTGAGAACTGGTGTTGTCTGTGATGGGATCCATGGTCGATTGATTGACGAGAAGACCGTGAGCTATCTGATGTGAAGCCGTAATGTGCGATGCTGTGCTCCAAATCCCAGTGAAATGTGACTGCATTCTGTCATGTCCTACGAAGGACTTGCCATGGGCGATGAGGATTGGTGCCACTGCAAATGCGACGCGATTGTTGTGTGGACCTGATGAGAAATACTCGGTGAAACGTTGTGCAAGAAGCGGTCTTGGATGTGATGGGATGCATGATCAATTGATTGATGTCTCAGTCAAAACTACTATTAGCGAATCACCGATGCGCCCAGCTGGAAGTTCAATTCCAACTATCTACATATCAGCTTGATTCGTTGAGGAAAGAGTGATAGCACGAACACACCGCAGCCGTTCGACCGCAGCCAGCACTCCGCAGCTCGGTTGTCCGGCTTCGGTATTTTTGTCAGATACGTGCGTCCCGTGTGTGGATTGTATAGAATCCTTTCAGTGAACGTCCCTGTGCGCTCCCGCGAGAACGCGATTCAAGATGCGCATGAGGGGTCGTTCGCGGCCATCAGGGGTTTTTCCTGTGCGTACCATTGGCCCCTCCGTGTTTCGAGACAGCACAGGCAGACACGGCCATGGAAGCGCAGCCGGAGCTGTGGACAGGATATCTCTTGTCTTGCCTGTCCTGCCGCCAAAGTTGTCAGAAATCCAATGATCCATCCTTGTTCCACACGGACTTCTGTCCGTAGGACAGCGGATAGAATCCGAGTTTGTCGTGTGAGTTAGTGGGACAAATCAGGTGAAATAGAAGTTGCCAGTAAGTTGACCTTTTCGTCATTTCTCCGAACAGCTGTCAACTCTCCGTAGAAGTTTTATTATTCGCCCGGAAGAAGTGCCGTTTCTTACCTCCATTGCTTCCTCTGCGGGGGTTTATACATTAATCAGCATTGGGCCACATGGCGAGATCAAACTTCCTCAGCCGGATTCTAGTTTCGCTAACTGAGCTGACTCATGCCAGTGCAATGGCAGCCTGGATTAAAAGCACTAATATAAGAATCGTGCGTTTCTAGTAGGGCTCTTCAGATAAACGAGTCGGGCAGTGTGTCTGATTCCAAACTTGGCGCAATATTCATCTCAGCACCTCGAACAATCAGCCAGTCGCACTCTCTACGCCCTACGGCCCGAAGAGATTCTCAGTCAAACGTCTCGGAATTTACAAAACCGCCATCCTGGATTAATGTTCGGAGCCGCCGGATGTTGCGCGAAGCGAAGAATGTCCATATGCAGCCGCGGCCCGCCTGTATGGGTGACTAACCGTAAATCACTCATCCCGACTTCTGCTTGCAACTATAAAAGATGGGGCTTGTGGGCCTTGCTGTCAATCCAAACTCTCAAACAGTGCCATGCCCTCTCGACACATCGTAACACTCCTTGCTCCGGCTTGGGGCCATGCGCTGCCTTACATCCATCTTACGACCCGAATGCTGGCCTCTGATCCGGACCTGGTCGTGACGATCGTTCAGCACAACAACTTTGGTTTGGGCCTCTGTAACATTTAATTCGATCCCTATGCTGAACGACGTAGTGCACAGGATGTTGGACGAGCTGGACACATGTTCCTATGATACCACTAGATTGAAGATTGAGGGTGTAGGAGATGCCAAGTCGGTCTCAAGTTCGCTTTCGCCTCGAATTGTCTCATCAGAAACAGCCTCCAACTTTCGGCGGCGACCCTCGAAAAGTGTTTTGGGGAACTCACAGCTGGATGGCTGGAGATCCTTGCGAAGGCACTCGGCAGGGGATCCACCTGGCCCCGGCCCAAGACCCTGCATGTATTGAAGCTTTCAAGGCTTTGGTGAGAGAGGCTCATCACCCGAAATAGATGGATTTCTTCGGAGGATTTGTCATCAAGGAAACGAAGACATTGATAGGACCCGAAGGAAAGGTCCTGCTCTGGTGCTCCACTGGTATCACGACCTGCCTGGACCAGTGCAGCAAATTCAACTACGCCAAAATCGCCCACGAGATATACGCTGACGAGAGCAGACGACAGGGAAGAACGGTGGAGCAAGTTCTTGACGATGTGCGTACAATTTATTCCTTCGGTTTCTTGACCCTTTAAACGTCTCCTCACTCAGGTCGCATGCGCCGCAAATGGCAGCGACAAATTCGACGGGCGTGTTCTCGAACTGCCCGGTGGGGTGAAGATATATGATCATGAGCACACGGCGCAGGGCGCTGGGTCATCGGGCCAGTTCAATTTTGTCTGGGAGGCTGCACAGGAGCTGGCTGAGGTGGTAGACGGTTTCATCAGCCCCAGTAGCATCCCTCTAGAGCCAGTGACAGCTCCCTTCTGTCGCGAGTACTACAAAAATCACGGACAGGAAGTGTTCCTCGTCGGCCCTCAGATGCACGATGACGAATGGGAAGCGCCATCAGCAGGCTCTGGTCCCAGCGATGAGAGACTGAAAACATTCTTGAATGATGCGCGCAAGACACACGGGCCAAAATCTGTCTTGTACATCTCTTTTGGGTGCGTGCGACCTTTCGGATTCTGAAAACTGTCACCTCAGATTCGCTCAGTTCTTGGTACTTCCCCTTGATGACACCTCATCTGGTCGAGGCGATGATCGACGTGCTGCTCAGTCTCGACGTTACGATCCCTTTCGTATTTGTACTCGGTGGAGCGATGGCTTCTTTGCCAAAAGAGACCATCGATCGTATTCACGCCAGCGGCCGGGGAATTGTATGTGCTCACTGGGTCGATCAAAAAGCCATTTTGAAGAGTGGCACAATCGGCTGGTTTTTAACGCACGGCGGCTACAAGTCGGTTTGATTTATGATCATCACCGACACGCATATCACTGATTCGTGTGACATTTGTAGCTCGTTAACTGAGGGGCTGAGTCAAGCCACCCCGCTCATTTTCTGGCCAGTGGGAGCGGAGCAAGCTCTTAATGCAGCGATGCTTTCGACAGGCCCCCGTCCCATCGGAATCGAACTGTTCCAGGTAGTCACCAACATCAACAACTCCTTCACGGAAATGCATGCTCATTCACAATGTACAGATTCGCGCTGGTGCTCAACTGGGTCCTTCTCTACGTCCTGAAGCACCCAAAATCACAGGAGCAGTCGAGGATGCAAAGACTGAGTTCCAGCAAACATTCAACGATCTCAAAGGACCAAGAGGAGAAATCCTGACACAAAACGCTACCCGCATCGCGGAACTGTGGCGCGAGGAAAGAATTCGGGGGGATACTGTGCACGAGATCGTCAGGTTGACGAGATTCTGACAACACGAGAGGAGAGATTCGCATCCCATTCTACATAGATATGAATTAATCGACTGAATCCTGCATAAGTACCTCAGGGCTCATATCGGCCACTCGTCGGTTTGTTTTCATTCAAGAAACGGTGATACTCTCAGCGCATCCTCACACCCTCACTTCCTCAGATATGATGAAGCGGTTGACTGTTTATCACACCTGCTTCGCCCAGATGAGTATGTGTCTGGATAAATTAAATGTCCATCGCGAGACCGCGGGAGAACCAAGAGAAAGAATGGGTGGCCACGGGCTGTGGCGCAGTGGAGGGGTCAACGGATCCATTCCACTATTCACGAGAATCGTCCGTCACACACGATCGGAAGGGCATCCGTGTACGCCTTGACACAGTCCGTATTCTGGACTGACAGGATCCATCAGAACTCGTCGGCAATTTCCCAGGATCATCGGCAGGCCTCGTTCCGCCAAACCGGTCACGCCTATGCTATTTCCCACCTTGACGACCTCGACGTCAATCGCGCGGTCCATTTGACCCAATCTCACGTGGCTGAGGAGGAGAAGAAATCGGGAAAATAGAAACATGTCCTGTATTCATGTGCGTTGTGGAATGTGTTTTTCTTTGCCCAGGATGGATCTCAGCACTGACAAGGGAAATGCGAGCCCCCTCAGAGGACCAAGCCACAGCAGACGGCCGCCTTTGCTTATCTCTACACATCTTCTCATCCCAATCTCAATATCTGCTTGAACAGACTTGAACGAAGCGATTACAGGCGCGCTTATCTGCTCCCTGATCACGGGTCCGGCCATGACACTTCTTCGAAACTTTCGAAGGAGGGCGGGTGGATTGTTAGACCCATCTGTGGCTAGCTTTCGCACCATCTCGGCCGCCTGGACGGGAGTGGAACAGGCGAATCTACGCGCTTATGAAATGACTGGTTGTTATCGGGACTTTGCGTAGGACTTCGCCGCACCCTAGCCGGTATTCATAACAAGCGTGAGAGATCGTAGCTTGGTCGAAGATAAACTTCCGCCCACTGGTGTGCCCTTCCCACAACCCCTGCTTCCTCCCTTCTGCCTTTGATAACGACTGGCCATGGGGTTCGTCAGCCTCAAGAACGTGGTGAAGCGAGTCGATAACTCGGGCGACGAGTGCGTTTATGACTTGCGTATCCCGCTATATTACCGCCGCCTCAAAACACGTGCAGTAGCGATATCGGGACCTCGACATGGTACAACAAAGATCTGGTCCCCGCTCGACCAGAACTGGTGCGTGCATATCGCTGCGCTCAACTCCTCGCTCTCCTGATTCGCGCATGACGTACCCCAGCGGCGATGGAAAGCGCACACCTACGTCTCATTCTGGTGGGCGTCCTCCTTCAACCAGGCGGAATGGGCTGCGGGCGCGTCGCTGATTGCGGTGGGCCTCACGTTCCGGCAAAGCATGGCCTGCGCCGTGCTCGGCGCCATGCTCTCCGCCGTCGCGATGGTGGTCACCGCGCGCCCGGGCGCGCTGGTGCACGTCGGCTACCCACCGCTCTTGCGCAGCTCGTTTGGTATGTGGGGCTCGCGCGTGTTTGTCGCCTTGCGTGGAGGGGTGGCCATCATTTGGTTCGGCGTGCAAAGCTATTTCGCGAGTGAGCTGCTCGATGTGGCATTCAGATGCATGTATGTGATCTCGTTCTCTCCAACCTCGATCCCAATGTTGAATTGCACAGATTCGGGCACAAATGGACCGACATCCCGAATCATCTCCCGGCTAATGCTGAGATCACCTCTCGCGGGCTTGTGGCCTTCCTCCTGATCTGGCTCGCCCAAGGCCCGTTTATTCTCATTCACCCGTCAAAGATACACTGGCTGTGGCCGCTCAAAGCACTGATAATTCCCCCGGCCATTTTCGGCTTCTTCATCTGGGCTGTAACACAGGCAGGTGTGTTACAGTCCCGATTTTGTTTGAAATGTAGTGTTGAGAAGTTCAGGCTCGGACTGGGGAACGTTCAATACGAATGTGACGGCGGCACCGGCAAAGGGAGCCGCATTGGGATGGGGTGAGTATTTAAAACATTTCTGAACCAGACATTGACTAGTCTTTCAGCCATCATGAGTGGCATAAATACGGTCATGGGAACGCTTAGTCCGATGATTTTGAATCAGCCTGACATTGCGGTGCGTAGTCAATGCTGATGCGCCGGAAGATCTTCTTGAACTTGTCGTCGATCAGCGCTACGCGAGACGCCCGCGAGACGCCGGTTGGCCGCAGGGCCTATCAATGCTTGTTATCAAAGTAAGCTCCTCGCTATGTATCTTCGGGTCACCGCCGCTGATTTCGCCAGACTCTGATCTTCTTCCTCGCCATGTCTACAGCCTGTGCGCTGGAAGTTCTCTACGGCAAGGCATATTGGAACATGTGGTGGGCTAAATCATGTCATACGCGTCTTGTAAATCACAAACAACCTCACAGGGACCAACTCAACGCAGTCCTCGACGCGCATTGGACGGCCAAATCGCGCACCGGGTGCTTTTTCGTCGCGTTCTCCATGTGTCTCGGCACAATCGGCACCAATCTGTCCGCCAACTCGATCCCGTTCGGCGCCGACATGGCCGGTACGTTTCCACGCCACCTGACCATCGTGCGCGGCCAGATCGTAGTATGGATTCTGGGCTTTGCGATTGTGCCGTGGAAATTCCTCACCAGCGCGGCCAAGTTCATCACCTTCCTCGGCTCCTACACGGTGCTGGTGGGTGCGATTCTGGGCCCGATGATCGTCGATTACTATGTCGTGAGGCGTGGAAAGTGCGTGTTTGTTTGCGTGAATGACCTGATAGTACTTGATGATTTCTCCAGTGTGCATGTGTGCGCGGGGTTGAATTTCTCCACCGCATCACGCTCACAATCTTGTCAGGCCCTCGTTATATGACGGCAGCCGCGGGTCCTTGTATTGGTTCTGGGGCGGGTTCAACCTCCGCGCCATCGCAGTGCGTATTCCCCCCTTCTCATAGCCCGAGCTCGAAATTCGTATCCAGGCATGGTGCGTCGGAACCGGCCTAACCATCTCTGGCATCGCAGCCGGTTTCACGCCGGGCTCCGTCAACTCTGCCTCGGTGGATCTGTACAGGTCAGCGCCGTTTCCTGATCATCATGTACTTTCTCACGGCTGATGGGGCAAACGCAATAGTCTCGGCTGGCTGCTGTCCGTCGTGGCATCCGGCACCACCCACTACGTGCTCAATCGGCTCTTCCCCGTCCCCATCGCACCGCGCGATCGGCCCAGCGGGGCACAGCCGTTCGAGTATCTCGCGAAGAAAGAGGGATTCTACGACGAGGATCTGCCCTGGGATGTCACTGCTGGGCCGGCCACGATAGTCGACACGCCGTCTGTGAGCGATGAGGACAGCGTGAAGAAATTCGAGGAGGAGTCGAAAGAAGCTGGTGTCTAGAGTCAGAGCGCCTCAGACGAAATGGTGCAGTTATTTTGGTCTCACATTTTGTATAACATCCGAGCCGTACTACCTCGAGAAATTTGGTTGAGATTTGAACGCTCCTCAGGACGCCGGACCTCACTAGTCCCGCGCTGGGGAAGTGCCAATAGTGTGTCTTCACCCTTCCGGGGAATACACATTACAGGGACCCTTGCTGGATAGGGGAATGTCGTCCGTGGATGGCCCATCGAGTTTACGCTGTAAAGTGAATAGAAGTGAGAACGAAGGCATACACTTGTGCAACATTCTCAATCCATGGGCCAAATTCGGCTATTGCTCGCTGTAAGCTGTCTATTTTTGTTTTAGTTACGACACCAGACACGAAATTTACGACATGGCATAAGAGATTAAATGGAATGAATAGCTTCGCTAGGGTGATATGATTTTACACAACATGTGAAAAGGTTTTCAGCCTCGGTGTGAAGAGCTCTTTTGCAGTGAAGGAATCGTTAGCAGGCTTCTTGCTCGGGAGTCTGTTAGGGTACTTTCCTGTTGGATCTGTTGGATCAGTGCAGTCGGAAATCGGTCGACTTCTGCTTCCGAGCCCCTCATCGTGGATCAGAGGTCAAAAACTGCCCTCTTGACAGCGCTCCCTGACAAATCGACACTCTGGAAGCCAGACCGGCATTCATTCTCTGTCCGAATCTGACTCTCGTCTGACTCCCTACTTAGTCATGGCAGTTTGGCGGTGAATTCTGGACGCCGGGGGAGCCGCGGGCCGAGAGTTTTGGCACAGCCAGCTTCAATCGGTCATTGGGTTGACTCAGCGGAAGCCCATTTCCACGTGACATTGTCCCTGAACTATCGCTAGATTCAGCATCACCTGCGAGACAGTGTGAGTCACGACTCACGATGGCCAGCGCCTCCAAGCTCCAAGTTCCAAACTTCGCCGAAGACTGAGGCTCCTGCACCCGGCGTCTCGTAGCTTTCGGGCTTCGGGCCTGGCTGGCCCATCGGGCAAACCCTGCCGCCGCAGCCCTGCCCTGAGGAACCAACGTACCTGACAACTGTTGTCTCCCAGGGCACGGGCCGCCGCGCCACGCGTCGCTGGGCCCCCCGCTGCCGACACCTGTCAATCGCTCGCCAGATGCGCCTGAAATAGGCATCCGCGGACGGCCCGGATCGGTCACTCAGCCCACGTAAGCTTCTGCGGCTCGCAACACCGTGCGCTGGCCGAGCACAAAAACGCGTTCTCTGTTTCTGCTCGATATCACAACTCCCCCGTCTATACCCCCCCTCCCCCTCTACGAACGCTCTCATGTCCTCAAATGCCAGCGAGCACACGCTGACCGTCGACGACCACGCCGCGCCGACACCACAAACGGAGAAGGACAAGCCTGAGTTGGCGGAGAAGACGTTGGCCTTGCAGACCTCTGTCACGGAAGCACCAGGGTCGGAGGAAGATGTAGTGGACTATCCATCTGGGCTCAAGCTGGGGCTGCTGACGATTGCATTGTGTTTGAGCGTGTTCTTGGTCGCTTTGGTGCGCGTCCTTGATTTCGCACGCGGACGCGTTCTTACCGCTCTTTTTAGGACAACACGATCATCGCGACCGCTATTCCTAAGATTACGGACCAATTCAAGTCACTGGACGATGTGGGTTGGTATGGCTCTGCGTACGTGCTCAATTCGCTTTCGTGTACATTCTATAGATTGACTTCTTGTTTTTAGATATCTGCTCGTTCGTTCACAAGTGCTCTTTCTCTCCTTGATCTAACTTATTCGTCTTATCAGACGACTGCCGCTACGCAATTGCTCTTCGGAAAGTTCTACACGTTCATGCCAGTCAAGTGGGTGTTCATTACGGCTATCGTCATTTTTGAGATCGGTCAGTCCGTCTCTGCGCTTCCTCTCTTCTGCGGCGATCTTACGTATCACATGCAGGTTCTGCTATCTGTGGTGCCGCACCGAATTCTAATGCGCTCATCATCGGTCGTGCCATCGCCGGGTTGGGCTCCGCCGGCATTTTCTCTGGCGCCATGATCATCATTGCTAACACGGTCCCACTTGCGAAGCGGCCGATGTACACCGGTATCATCGGTGGGACGTTCGGTATCGCCAGTGTCGCTGGGCCGTTGATGGGTGGTGTGTTCACCGACAAAGTCAGCTGGCGTTGGTGCTTCCTCATCGTGCGTACTTCCTTGTATTGACATAACCGGGGCTAATCGATGTACACAGAATCTGCCTCCTGGCGCGTTCACCCTGCTCTTCCTCACCTTCTTTTTCAAGATGCCGGGCAAGGCTCAGGCCAAGAAGGAAATGACCTTCAAAGAGAGGCTGATGCAGTTCGACCCGATGGGCACCGTCATCTTCATCCCCGCCATCGTTTGCCTGCTTCTCGCTCTGCAGTGGGGTGGATCCAAGTACCCGTGGAAGGACGGCCGTGTCATCGCTCTCTTCGTTGTGTTCGGCGTCCTCATCTCGGTTTTCATCGCCATCCAGTTCCGCCAAGGCGACCAGGCCACCATCCCCTTGCGCATCTTTAAGCAGCGCAGCATCTGGAGTGGCGCGTGGTTCATGTTCTCTGTCGGCGCAGGGTTCTTCATCTTCTCGTTCTATGTGCGCGCAATGTTTCCCGCTGTGACTCCCATGACTGATCCGTAAACAGCTCCCTATCTACTTCCAGTCAATCCACAACGTCTCGGCCGTCAACTCTGGTATCTCCACACTGCCTATGATCCTGTCCCTCGTCGTCGCCTCCATTCTGGCCGGCGGGCTCATCACCCAACTCGGATACTACGCACCGTTCATGATCGCCTCGACCATCATCGCCAGCGTCGGCGCGGGACTGATCACGACCCTCGGCGTCTCTACGGGTCACACAAAGTGGATCCCTTACCAGTTCATCTATGGCTTCGGTCTCGGCCTGGGCATGCAGCAGCCCATGCTGGCTGCGCAGGCCGTGCTGGAGATGGTCGACGTCCCATCCGGCACAGCCATCGTCATGTTCTCGCAGACGCTCGGTGGCGCGCTATTCATCTCTGTGGGCCAGAACGTCTTCACCAACAAGCTCGTGAGCGGACTGGCGCAGTACGCCGCGGGCCTCGACCCCAGCGTGGTTCTCGCTGCGGGTGCTACTTCTCTTCGGTCGAGCGTTCCCGCTGACAAGCTTGCCGGTGTGCTGCTTGCTTATGCCCATGTACGTTGTCTCTTTCTAGCATGCTTTGATCTTCCTCTGAAGTCTCGATCAGGCTCTTGACTCTGCATACTACGTCGGTGTGGCGATGTCGGCTTTGTCCATCATCGGCTGCTTGGCCATCGAGTGGAAGAACATCAAGGGCAAGAACATTGAGATGGGAATGGCCGGTTAAAAGAATTCCACCCTTTTGGTTTCCCCCAATACGCATCGCCAGCCTACCCGCATACCGGCACACCCACACTCGTCCGTGTACTCACGTTCATTCACTTACATCTTGAATAATTTGACATCTTTGTTGTCCTTGGAACAGTGCCATCTCGATCTTAGACTACTAGACTTACCTCACGCTATCATCACGGATTTCTGCATAGACAACGCATTCCAAAGGCATCTTACACAACTCGGATCTGTATAATAGTTTAATCGTATTTTACTGGCCAGCGCTCGTTTCCAGCGATGGGGAATCTCTGAATCGCATATGGCCGACCGGGCAACTGCTCGTGCTGATTGTGTGACTACTCGATCTTCGCGGTCTCGACCGTCCCCGTGACTGTGAGTGCTTCCCGACGAAGAGAAGGAATCAGTCAGACACCAGCTCTCGAATCTGTGCAAGGTACACAATCAAGAATGTCGGTGAAGGATTCCCATAGATAGGCACTGTGGAGAGCATTGAACTAACCGCATTCCAGGTCACAATTTCGGGATCGGATAAAGCAAACTGCTGGCGCGCCCGAATGAACTGTACGAACCAGATCTCGACCTGTACTTCTTGAGCAAATCATTCATCAATGTCTTCACTCTCAAGTCCTCCCGTAGTCCGCAGTTTCATCATCTGTCGACGGTTGACTTCAGATGAAGCAGTCTGATTTCAAACGAGACTGAACACTCACTCGATGTGACCCGACACACTCGACCGTCAGCCTGCTAGAATCATGCGAGCAAGAGCTCAACTCCAAGCATTTCACCGACTGCGTTGTTGCGCTTGAAGAATGGCACAAGTTTCCTGAGGGACGCACACCGGAAGTTGTCGCACTGAACAATCGCGATACTAACTCCGGATCTGGGTCAACCCGCCAGTGTTCAAGTGAAAAGAAGGCAGGGAATTCCACGCTCCCAAGCTGGAGCAAGGAGCGCTAGGACGTGCCGAAGGGCATGGGACTGTTTGAGGTCGACAGTAAGCCGAAGTTTTCATCTTTTATAGTGGGAAAGGCGGCCGCTAGAAAATGGTTTGGAAAGAAGTAGAGATCGGAACTGGGTTGGTCACAGTGATGGACGAGCCCGGCGGCCGTGGTTACCTGCGAGCACCTTTTGCCAATTCGCATGTGGCACCCGATGGACCATCGGAACTGCATCCGATGGCCCACCAGGACTGCGCTCACAAATCAGCTTGACGTATGGACTACGAATCTTGTTTTGCTATATCTCTGCCGAAAGAGGGGTGAATAATTTCAAATCCACGCCAATTGTGAGCTTGGGATCGTTGGCCTACCGCTCAAATACACTGGAGAAATTTTCGTGCCTACAGTGTCTGAAGGATTGATCCAATAAGCTGGCACTTCGTGAGTCAGCATGATGTGTAAGTCAGAGCCCAGCTGTACGGCGAGGCTGATGATAATGTGACATCTGAGGTTGACTGCCAGACTTTCTATTGAGGGGGTGGGTGGAAGTGGCTGTGAGAAATGATCAATGACATGATTTTCATTCTTTGACGTTGGGTCTCCTCATTTTATTGGTGCATTTTTATGGATAATTATCACAGGAAAACTCATCTTATCTGATCAAATAGTATGAGAAATCCAGGGCTGTTATTCCACCTCAGTTATCAATTCCCCCATGATGCAATAGACTCCTTCCTGTTTTGGATGCAGACATAATCAGGGATTAGCGGAGCTGTGGGAATAGGGTGCCCAGAGTGCATACTCTAAGCCAGAGCTAAGAAAATTTGTGATCTGTTGAGGCCAATATTCCGGTGAGATTCCTGGAAATGTTCTGTGAACATTAAACTCACAGGATCAATACAGAAAAATCCGTCTCAACCAATCTCTTTGTTGCAAATATATTCGCTCATAATCTCTTATTTAGCAAATAGATTAGCTTTGGAACCGTTAAAACGCACAGGCAGATGACGCGAGACACAAGACCGGAAGCCCCATCAATCAACAAGTACAAAGAGATCATCAACTTAATCTCGCTCGCTCATATTCTCATTTGTATCTCGTGTGACTAGGAATGCTGAAGTGCCCTCATAGCCTCGGGAATCTCGGAGGCGTTTTCACGAAGCTCAATGATGCCTGCTCATGCACATGGACCGCACTGTGTCCGTGGGAGGTTCATGAAAGGCGCAGTGCAACTCTACAGAGTCCTCGGAAGAGCGAAAATGCAAACGGCCCGAATCGGTCACTATCCCTACGTAAGAATCTACGCTCCGCAGTCAGCGTGGGTTGAACATAAAACATGCTCTCTCCATTTCTTGTGAGAGCACAGTCCCTCCAGCCCTCGCTCCTTCTCAACGAGCATCGTAATGTCCTCAGTTGCAAGTGAGAGTCTGGCGAGCGCGGAAAGACAGGGCGCACTGACGCCCCAAACGGAGAAGGAGCAGTCCGAGCTGGCGGAGAAGTCGCTGGGCATGCAAAGCACTATTCCCGCTACGTCCACGACGTCTCCCGAGCCGGGGGAGGATGAAATGGACTATCCCTCGGGGCTGAGGCTTTGGTTGCTGACTATTGCTCTGTTTTTGAGTGTATTCCTAGTCGCTTTGGTGCATGTTGTCGTTTTGGCGATTGAACACATTCTGACTCCATTTTTAGGACAACACAGTTATTGCAACCGCCATCCCCAAGATCACGGACCAATTCAACTCATTGAACGACGTGGGATGGTATGGCTCCGCGTAAGTGCCTGATCTTTCCGCGAACATGTGGAGGATTGACTTCCCACTTTGCATAGATATATGCTCGTTCGTAGAAAACTTCTTTTATGTGTCTCCTTGATTAAACTCACTGAACGCATCAGACGACCGCTGCTACGCAATTGCTCTTTGGAAAACTCTACACGTTCATGCCTGTCAAGTGGGTCTTCGTCTCAGCCATCGTCGTTTTTGAGATCGGTAAATCCGTCTGTGCGCTCCTCTTCCCCCGCGGCGATCTCACATCACATGCAGGATCTGCTATCTGTGGTGCTGCGCCCAATTCCATCTCGCTCATTATCGGCCGTGCGATTGCCGGGTTGGGCTCGGCCGGTATTTTCTCCGGTGCCATGATCATCATCGCGAACACGGTCCCACTCAGGAAGAGGCCAATATACAGCGGCATCATTGGTGCGACATTCGGGATCGCCAACGTTGCTGGCCCTTTGATGGGTGGTGTATTCACCGACAAAATCACTTGGCGGTGGTGCTTCCTCATCGTGAGTACTTTCATCTGGCGGCACAAGCGGGGTTGATTGAGAACGACAGAATCTGCCTCCTGGCGCAATAACCCTTCTCTTCCTCATCTTCTTCTTCAAGATGCCGGGCAAAGCCCAGGTCAAGAAGGAGATGTCTTTCAAGGAGAGACTGATGCAATTCGACCCGATTGGTACCGCCATCTTCATCCCTGCGATTGTTTGCCTGCTTCTCGCGCTGCAGTGGGGTGGAACCCAGTACGCGTGGAAGGACGGCCGTATTATTGCACTCTTTATTCTCTTCGGGTTCCTGATCTCGGTTTTCATCGCCGTCCAGGTCCGCCAGGGTGACCAGGCCACCATCCCCGTCCGCATTTTCATGCAGCGCAGTGTCTGGAGTGGCACCTGGTACGCGTTGTCTATCGGTGTAGGGCTCGTCATCTTCTCGTTCTACGTGAGATCCCTCATCCCTTGTATAGTCACCTCCCTGATTCACACATGCCCAGCTCCCTATCTATTTCCAGACGGTTCACAACGTCTCCGCGCTCAAATCCGGCATCTCCACCTTGCCCTTGATCCTGGCCGTGGTTGCTTCTTCGATTCTCGCTGGTGCACTCGTCACGCGGCTGGGATACTATGCGCCGTTCATGATCGTGTCCACTGTAGTTTCCACCGTCGGTGCCGGGCTGATCTCCACCCTCGGCGTGTCTTCTGGTGCCAACAAGTGGATTCCGTACCAAATCATCCATGGCTTCGGTCTCGGCCTGGGAACGCAGCAGCCCATGCTGGCTGTGCAGGTAGTGCTAGATATGGCTGACGTCCCCACTGGCTTGTCGATTATCATGTTTTCGCAATCAATCCGTGGAGCGTTGTTCGTCTCCGTCGGCCAGAACGTTTTCAACAATAAGCTGGTCACCGGATTGGCCAAGTACGTTCCAGACCTCGACCCGAACGTTGTTTTGTCCGCGGGTGCTACTGCTGTTCGCTCGAACGTCCCTGCTGACAAGCTTGCCGGCGTACTGCTCGCCTATTCCGATGTACGATTTTTCCCTCAACCTGTTGGACCTGGCTTTGACATCTCGATAAGGCTCTTGACTCTGCATTTTATGTCGCTGTGGCGATGTCGGCCCTGTCCATCATCGGCTGCTTGGCAATCGAGTGGAAAAGCGTCAAAGCCAAGAAAGTGCAGACGGACACGGCCAGCTAGTCCATACCCTTTGTTGGAATTGATGTTCGCGCGATGCAGACAGGCTGTCCTGCAACTTCGGATAGATTTTTGGCAGTTTTCCAGACACTGACAAGCGGCTGTTGGAACCTTGTAGTTTCTTCGTTTACAAGTATGTAAACCAGCAGAATAGAGTGCTGCAGTGTCTGTTTGTCCTAAAGCAACTCGAATCCATTCTTAGTGCCATTAAGAACCGACTCTATAGTAGCCTTCAATCGCAGTCCCAACACAATCATATTTGTCTATGCCCTCAAGCTTATTTCTCAGCGTTACATACTTGACATTGATATTGTCCTCGAAACAGGGCCATCTCCAACTCAAGCCTCTGGATCCGTACCTCAGACTTTCGTCTTGTATTCCTTACTTGAATCTGTGTTATACTTGGATAGTATTCACACTGGCCCTCGTTTTCCCTACAGCGACAGGGTTTCATGTGGTTCCATGTGTTCGAATGAGCAACAGACCATGCTGATTGCGCGGCAACACTGATCGAAATGCTAGTAAGAAACAATGAACAGACACTCGTGCGTGCTGCCAGATGTAACGCACCCGTGGCAGAGCAGGAAAGGAACAGTGATCCGTGATGGTTGAGCGCCTGCCGTTCTGTAGGTGCGCGGACATGCCAAAAGTCACCATCTATGCGCGGGGGCGCGCTTGGGATCCTCCAGACACTCCCGCGTCTCAGATTTGAAGTGGTAGCTACAGAAAACGACCTGTGCGTGGGGCATCTGGCATGGCGTGATACTGTCCGACAGTCACAAACGCGCCGCATGACTAGACCGCGCTTGATTGGGTGAGATTTCCAAATGGGGAAGCTGCACAGCCTCGGGCCCCGATCTCTGAAGTGACTCTTTCTCGACGGTGGGCCAGTACAAAAGCGAGTCTGTGTGAGCGCCCATTGTTGTCAGTTGCCACTTTTCTGCTAGATACATAAGCAAATAGTACCCGATTGTGCACCACACTAACCTTTGCCTGACACCACCACCACCACCACCACCGACCAGTATGCCTCAAACCCGACACAGAGCACGGATGGAGAGAGCCGCGGAGCTTGCTCTTACGAACGTTCTTGAGGCGATGAAAGACCCGACTGGGCTCACAGGCCCTCTCTCGCCCATGTCCATCCTAACCCCATCCAGCTCCGTCTCGGAACCCGCCTGGGACGGTGGCAGCAGTGACACCGAGATGGGGGAAGTGAACCATGCGAGCAGGGCATCGGGAAAGCGGAAGGCCCAAGCAGAGGGCACAGACATCGTGGAAGAGTCCGACGACGTCATGGGCGCGCTTCCGCGGATCGACAGGCGCACTTTCGGCCAGCCGAAACCCCTCGCACGGCTCCGAGCGAGGGAACTCATCACACCCACAACCTCATTCACGGGCCCGCCGCAGGTCCCGCCGGCCCCTCGGGCCCCGGCTGCATGGAAGCGCTCCCGCTCCCGCCGCAGCAGCCCAGACAAGACTTCCGACGCGTCCTCTGGGAGGTCCTCACAGCATTCACAGCCAAGCCCGGGAATCCCTTCGGCCGCCACACACCAGCCGCCCCGGAAACGCGCGCGCTATTCGGCGCCAGTGATGCTGCACGACCCCACGCCGCCGAGGGAGCGGAACCGGCGCATGTCCTACACGCGCGATGCGGAGATCGTGAGGGCGGTTGAGAGAGGCGAGCGGGTCGAGCTGACGCGGACCGGGACGATGTTGTTTCCGATTGGGCTCGCTCGAGGGGGAACGAGGGAAGCAGGACCAGGGCCGGGGTTGGGGTTGGGCATCGGGCTGAGATCGCCGTTCCAGAGCACGGCTGAAACTGCAGTGGGTTTGACATTACGTGACACGGCGCCCTCGACGAGGAGGGGTGCAGACGAGCCGGGGGTGCGCATCGCCTGAAGAGCTGTCAGCTCATGAGAGGAGACAAACAATTTACATACGGAGCCTGCTTAAGCATTGCTGCTGGCATCCTGTTGGGATGACCTGCCCTTTATGAACCGCAATCTCATTCTCTCGATTACGTCGGTCGCATTCTGTGAGTTTAAGAGGGGAGAAATGACTGGAAATCGGAGAAGACTGGATAGTCACACGTGTGCTCGGAGTATGCCGCAGATTTATCACTGCCACCCATCACTTCTAACCGATATCCCTTCCCTTATCTAAAACCACATACTTGGACACTCTAATTCTCAGAACCTAGCAAGCCTCGTGATCTCCTGTACGGGTTTCCCGTCGATTCTCTCCTGACGCCACAGATCTCCGATGCGGGTGGCATTTCGTTCAAGGGTTTTGCCTCTGGATCCCTTGAGATCACTGAAAACTTGCTCGAACTCAGCCCTCGCGTCTTCAGCTGTGCCTGTAATATTGGGTGCTTCTGGACGAAGAGAAGGACCCAGTTGAGTGCCAGCTCGAATCTATGCGTCGTGAGTGACTGGATTCACAGGCCGGTGAAGGAGCATCCATATTGCTGCATACCTGGAAAAACTCGACTCCGATGGGACGATCACCGGTGGAAAGCATGGCTGCATTGAGACCTTGTTCTGCTCCGACAGGCCAGAAAATGAGCGGAATGCCTTGACTCAGCCCTTCGGCCAACGAACTGCGAATCAATCAGCAACAAGCCGGCCTGAAGCTCCAATTCAAAGCCAACTTACTTGTAGCCGCCATGAGTCAAAAACCAGCCGATCGTGCCGCCTTTCAAGATGGCTTTCTGATCGACCCAGTGAGCACAGACGAGTCCTCTGCCGCTGGCGTGAATGCGATCGATGGTCTCCTCCGGCAAGGAAGCCATCGCTCCAGCGAGCACGAAGACGAAAGGGATCACAGCGTCGATGCTCAACAGCACTTCCAACATCACCTCGACCAGATGGCGCCTTTCCACGGGGAAGAACCACGAGCTGCACGAATCTGACTTGGCCAGCTCGAAACGAGGGAGGGTCCATTGTGACGCACCCGAAAGAGATATACAGGACGGACTTCGGCCCGTATTCCTTGCGCGCGTCATCCAAGAATGTTTTGACTCTGCCCTCGCTGGGACCGGGGCCTGCCGCTGGCGTCTCCCATTCGTCGTCGTGCATTTGCGGACCGACGAGGAACAGCTCTTGCCCCCGCTGTTCGTAGTAATCGCGACAGAAGGGCGCTGTCACTGGCTCCAGGACGATACTACTCGGACAGAATATGCCGTCGACGGACTGAGTCAACTTCTGCGTCGCCGTCCTGACAGCGGTGAATTGACTGGTTGATCCGGCGCCCTGTGCCTGATGCTCATGGTCGTATATCTTCACTCCGCCAGCGATTTCGAGAACGCGCCCGTCGAGTTTGTCGCTTCCATTCGCGGCGCACACGACCTGCATGAAATGGCGTTCAACTACTCTGCAAACGGGACGCCGATTGGATACACACGCCGCCTAGAACTTCCTCCATCGTTCTTCCCCTTCGTCTCTCCTCGTCGGCGTGTATTTCGTGGGCGATTTTGACGAAGTCGTATTCGCTACACTGGTCCATGCAGGCCGTGATCAGAGTAGAGCACCAGAGCAGGATCTTTCCTTCCGGTCCTAACAACGCCCTCGTTTCGTCAAGAACCAGTCCTCCAAAGAAATCCATCTGTTTCGAGGAATGAGTTTCTTATCGAAGCCTGAGACGTTCAAATACATGCAACGTCTGAGGTTTAGGCCACGCGTTTCCTGGGATGACTGCCTTTGCGAGGACCTCAAGCCATTTTTCCGAGAGCTGTGCGAAACACTTCCCGAGCGTGGCTGATGTAGATGGGAGGCTGTGCCGATCGGTTAAATAGGATCCAGAGAAGAAGCCGAAGACTCACTCGCTCTCGCCTACACCCTCGATCTTCAGTCTGCTAGTATCGTACGAACAAGTTGACAGTTCTTTCATCATCTTGGACACTGCGTCATTCAGCATGTAGGTAAGCGAAGTAGATACCGGAGAGGCACTCACCGATGTTGTTGTGCTGCACAATCGTGACGGCCAACTCCGGATCCGAGGCCAGCAGTCGAGTCGCAAGGTGGATGTAAGGCAAGGTATGACCCCATGCCGGAGCAATGAGTGCTAGGACGTGCCGAGAGACCATGGGGCTGTGTTAACTGTGAAACAAACCCTTGTCCCTCGAATGGGGCAGCCAGATCCTTTATAGTGGCAAGCAGAACTTGGCATGAGTGATCCATTTTGAGTCACCGACGGTAAAATCTCTGGCTACATGGGACAGCCGACAGCTTCGATGATCGATTCAGGATGTAGCGTGGGTAGAACTTCGCATCTGTTTATAAGACCAGAGAGTGGAAACGAGTCAGATTCTGCGGGGCCTCCGACTCGGAGTAGATTGCGGCTGGTATTCAAGTAGTCATTGGGCCAAGTTTGAATTCAGATACTACCCGACCCCTCCATCAGATGAACCCTGCTTTAAACCACATCCCCGAATTGGAAGTCCGGTCTCTACCTGAGTCAGCACAGCGGCGAGCCGAAGGACAGCTGACGTTGAGCCCGGAAGGTGACGGACGATGATAAGCAAAGGAAGCTATTCGCTGAGAAAGAAAGCTTCTTCCAATGCTCTGAAACATCCGTTCATGGGTCAAGATAATCACTCCGTGTGCCAGAAAAGGCCACGGTGAGTATTCCCCGTTTAAAAATCAAGTCTTGAACGACCAGATTGCCACGGTATAGCGTGGCAGAATGTGAGACTCGGAGGAAAACGAAATTTAGCCGTGAATGAAGCGGAACCCGCCGTTCGGCGGCATGTGCGTCGTGGTATCCATGGGCAGCTTCGAGAAGTGGTGCCGAGATGGTAACGGTAGGAGGAAGGAGAAGCGTGGAGAAGCTCGTTCGTCTGCTCGAAGCAGGTGGCATTCCATGCGACATGTCCTCGAGGAAGGGTCAAGCCGAATCTGGGCTGACTAAAGCCCGTGCCGGGTCAAATCCGTTGCGGGCAACGTCATTGTGTGCGGAACAAAGAACAGAGAGCGGCGGTGTTTGACGGGCCATCAACTTATGATGGCCATGTGAGGCCCCCGGCCACTGGCTCTTGATCATGGTCAGTCCGGAATAATGCAAATCAATCCTCCAACGACGACCTTACCTTAGTCCAGACGTTTACAAAAATGAGTGCGAAAGCCCACAGATCAATCTGGAGGTGCAAATCGCAGGCTGCGGAGTTTGGGACACAGCCCCAAGCCCACGCAATGATCTTCACCAAGAGGTTGAACGGGCGAAGGCGCAGCAAACGAGGTTGGTCTGGGCTTTGGCAAGCACGCTTATAAACCAAGGAACAGGTGCTCATTTCGGATGATCTCAGTACGACATAGTGCTAATCAAGCTCTGACAAGCGGATTATGTACTGCATATCAGCCCCTCGAGATAGTCTGACCCGGTCAGTAGTGTCCGGGGGACTGTTGTTGACAGGATTTGGCCCCGCGGCGCTCAAGGCTCTTCCTTAATCCCAAGGCACGATTGTTCTCCGTTTCGTAACGCAGAATCGGCGCGAATAGCGACGCCGATGCTGACGCAAGTGATGGCCGGACGGAAGCACTCTGCGCGTATTTTCTTGCCTTTGTCGTGTTTCGGAACCAATCCAAGAATGAGAACAGGTAGACGGGGGCAAAGCCTTTTTTTCAGTGGGTTTGAGGGAAAACGGTGCGAATTTTCCCCATTTTAGACTGGTTTGGACTGTACTCGGCATATTGACTTGAGCTTCGCGGCTGACATTTCCCCTTTTGGCAATTTGAGTTGTTTCTAGCTTTGCTCGAATCTGTTCGGCAATTGTCTCAGTCAGGATCATCGTCCATGCTGCCCTGTCCAGGTGCATGAACTAGCTTCTGGACTCCCGCGAGATATGCAGTCTGATGAACACATGGCTCCCGACCGTATAAATGCAGCCCTGCAGTCTGCTTGAAAGACTCAAAAAAATCCCTGGGTTCGTCTCCCTCAAAATTCTTCTTGAGATGTTCTCCTCTCGCACAATTCTCTCTCTTGCTGTGGTAGCCCATTTCGCCTCAGCGTACACCATTGGGCCCGTTAGCGATCTGGTAGTGGCCAATAAAACCATCGCCCCCGATGGCTTCCCGCGCGCCGCCGTTCTCGCTGGAGGAACGTTCCCTGGCCCCCTCGTCACCGGGCTCATCGGGGACAACTTCAAGCTCACGGTTATCGATAAGCAGCAGGATATCCGCATGCTCGAGCCCACGTCGATTGTGAGCCGAGCCATGTGTCTTTGTCATCTGATCGTTAATATGGCCCCGGCAGCATTGGCATGGGTTGTTTCAGAACGGCACGAACTACATGGATGGGCCTGCGTTCATAAATCAATGCCCGATCTCGCCCGGTAACTCGTTTACATACGACTTTACCTCCCAGCAGGCTGGGTGGGCAGTTTCTCATGGGAAACAAAATTGGTTCATCTGATCCCCCTTTGTTTCAGAACTTTCTGGTATCACTCCCACCTTGCAACTCAATACTGCGATGGCTTGCGTGGCCCAATGGTTATCTACGACCCGCATGATGCCTACCGCCACGAATACGACATTGACGACGAGTCCACGGTGATCACCCTTTCGGACTGGTACAACGTCTATGCTGAAACTGTCGTCGGTCCTGCGTGAGTGACGCCAGAAAGATCGAACATTGGGATCAGATTTTGATGTTTCGACTCTCTAGCACACCCACTTCCCTGCTCATCAACGGTCTCGGACGCACCGCTGAGACTGTCTCGAATACGACCCTCGCCGTCATCTACGTGAAAAAGGGTCTGCGCTACCGCTTCCGTCTCTTGAACACGGCTTGCAACCCCAACTACGTATTCCAAATCGACGGGCACAAGAACCTAACCATCATCGAGGCCGACGGTGTTCTGCACGAGCCGTTGAGCGTCGATTCCATCCAGATCTTCGCCGGTGAGAGGCCTCTGAAACACTTTCCCCATCCCACAGCCGACTGACTACATCAAGCCCAACGCTATTCGTTTATTCTGACGGCAGATCAAGCCGTTGACAACTATTGGATCCGCGCGAACCCGAACTTAGGCCCCGCTGGTTTCGCCGGGGGAATCAACTCTGCGATCCTTCGCTGTGAGCTCACATGTTTAGATCTTCCCGTCCCCATTCTCATCACCTACTTTCAGACATCGGAGCGAGCGATTCTGAGCCTACGACTTCTCAGGACACATCGGTCAACGGGTTAGTGAACGAGGTCAACCTGCATCCGCTCGTCAATCCTGGTGCTCCCGGTGGCGCTTATATCGGTGGAGCCGATGTGCAGGTCAATCTGGCCTTGGGTTTCGACTTGGTGCGCCGAACAGTTTCTCTGTCTATCTCAGCTTGAACTCAGATAAATTTACAGACCACGTTGAAATATACCATCAACGGCGCGACATTTGTTCCCCCGACTGTTCCGGTGCTCCTCCAGATTCTGTCCGGGGCCAAGACCGCACAGTCGCTGCTCCCTGGTGGCTCAGTCATCACCCTCCCACACTTTGCGTCGGTCGAGATCACGCTTGCCGCGGGTGCGATCGCCGGACCTGTGAGCTCCCTTCTTTATCTCGTTGTGTGATCGCACCGCTCATAAACTGGATAGCACCCCTTCCATTTGCACGGACATGTCTTTGATGTGGTCCGGCCTGCCGGAAGCACTACCTACAACTACGTCAACCCCGCTCGCCGTGACGTTGTCAGCATTGGCAATACCGGCGACAACGTGACAATTCGGTTCTTCACTGATAACCGCGGACGTGAGTCGGGGATCACCGCCGTGTCTTCTCCATCCGTCAACTGATGATCGAACAGCTTGGTTCCTCCACTGCCACATTGACTGGCACTTGCAGGTTGGTTTCGGAATCGTGCTCGCTGAGGATATCCCTGACTGGGACTCGGAGCTGGTCCCCACGTCAGAATGGGACCAGCTCTGTCCTATCTATAACGCGCTTCCTGCCTCGATCACATCTCACGCCGCCTGAAATCTTAACTTATCTGTTCATAAGTAATTATTTCATGGACTCCTACCACCAGTTTAGAATTATTGTGGAGGAGAATGTTGTTTCATGCAGGGATGCTTCAATTTCAGTCTCAGAAATGAGAATTTGTTTTGATCGTTGAATGCCCTTGCGCTGCCAAAAGCTTAGCATGGTCCAAGTGATGACCCTCAACTCGACTGCTGATGTGTTCGAGAGACGACTGGAGGTGCAAGAGTGATTTGGCAGCTGATTTTAGAACCAAATAATTGACAAGGTCGCCTCAAGAGAGAGATTCAAGCCAATGATATCAAACTTGTGGTCAAGTGGGATTTTCTAATGATACCTGGTGAGCATTTCGGAACAAGAATAAGAAATTACAATTGTGCAGTCTGATATTCTTTTATTTAGTACCTTGGTCACCCTGTGATTTCTACCTGAGACGTGATCCTATCTGCTTATCTGAAGAGCATAATAATCTAATCTTGATCAAAGCTCATCTTGACAGGCCCAGTGATGATCGGATCACAGATGTTGCATCACTTCCCTTTTGGGTCGCATGTTCAATCTGCATAATCAAAGTTGAACATGTCTTGAACATCATGATCTTTTTAGGGGGTTTTGTGATTCTACTTCTGGCAACCCCAAGAAAGTTTATTCCATTTTGGATACTTGAACATCATGAAGCGTTATCGAGAAATGAAAACTTGCCCAAAGAAACAAAATTGCTTGAAGTGGGTTTTGGTCCAAACCCCAACTGAGAGCAACGTTTGTCTCTTTCTAACAGAGAAAAAACAATCTTTTAAATTTTAATTTCCGGAACAAAAGAACATGAAATTCCAGTTGAATTTACCGTCTAATTTAAAATAATGCAAGCCTAGCAATTTCTTGCGCAGACTCCTCGTTGACCCTCTGTTCCCGCCACAGATCCCCGACGTGGACAGCATTCTGTGTCAAGGTTGCACCCCTCGATCCTCTAAGATCGCTGAATACTCTTTCAAACTCAGACTTTGCGTCTTCAGCTGTTCCGGTGATCTCGGGTGCTTCGGGGCGCAGGGAAGGCCCGAGTTGGGTACCGGCTCGAATCTGAGAATCATGAGAAACTGACGACTCAAGTCAGTGAAGGAGTGTGAATGATAAATACCTGGAAGAGCTCGATTCCGATGGGACGTGGACCTGTGGATAGGATCGCCGCATTGACAGCTTGCTCTGCGCCGATCGGCCAGAAGAGGAGCGGGATGCCTTGACTCAACGCCTCGGTCAACGAACTGCGGATGATTCAGCGGCATGAAAGTCAGTTTTGAGCGACAATAGGACTGACTTGTAACCGCCATGAGTCAAGAACCAGCCGATTGTGCCACTCTTTAGAATGGCTTTCTGGTCGACCCAGTGCGCACAGACGAGTCCTCTGCCGCTGGTGCGAATACGATCGATGGTCTCCTCCGGCAAGGCAGCCATCGCGCCAGCCAAGACAAAAATAAAGGGGATTGGACTTTCGAGACGAAGCAGCACGTCGATCATCACCTCGACAAGATGGGGCGTTTCCACGGGGAAGTACATCGACCTGAGCGAATTGACGTTCCCCCATTCTGAAACATGAGACTTTGTAACGCACCCGAACGAGATGTACAACACGGACTTCGGCCCGAATTTCCTCCGCGCATCATCCAAAAAGGTCTTCACCCTCTCATCGCTGGGACCCGGACCGGCTGACGGGGCCTCCCATTCATCATCGTGCATCTGAGGGCCGACGAGGAATACCTCTTGCCCACGCTGCTCGAAGTATTTGCGACAGAAAGCAGCTGTCAGCGGTTCCAAAGCTACGCTAGTCGGGGAAAAGAACCCGTCGGCCAACCGAGCAAGCTCTTGCGTGGCTATCAAAACGGGGGTGAGTTCTCGCGGTGATCCCGCGCCCTGTGCGATGTGCTCATGATCATAGATCTTCACTGCACCAGCGATCTCGAGAATGCGACCGTCGAGTCTGTCGCTTCCATTTAGGGCACACACGACCTATAGCAGGTGGCATCGAAGTTATCCGAAGACGAGGGGTAATGCGATACGTACATCACCGAGGATCTCCTCCATCGTCCTCCCTGCTCGTTTGCTGTCGTCGTCGTAAATCTTCCTGGCAATTCCAGCGAAATCGTATTCGCTGAAATAGTCAACGCAAGTCGTGATCCCGGTGGAACACCACATCAGCAGTTTCCCGTCTGGTCCCAACAACGTTTTCGACTCCTTCACAACAAAGCCCCCTCCAAAGAAGTCCATCTGTCACAAGAGCTTAGAGTATTCCGGAAATCCTGGCAACTTGGCGTACATGCAGCGTTTTAGGCTTGGGCCAGGTGGATTCTCCGGAGACAGCCTTTGCGAGGAGCTCAAGCCATCCAGCTGTGAGCTGATGGAGCATGTTTCCCACCACGACTGGCGAGAATTTGATGCTGCCTCGTTTTCATGAGAAATGGGAGATACAATGCATGAGACTGACGCTTTGTCTCCTACGCCCTCGATCTGCAGCCTGCTCGTATCATAAGAACACGTCTCGAGCTCCTTCAACATCTGGGGGACTACGAAATCCTGTGAGTGATATCGAGGCCAATACCACATAGGCACGCACTGAGGTTGTTGTGCTGCACAATCGTCACAACCAACTCTGGATCTGAAGCCAACATTCGACCCGTGAGATGGATGTAAGGCAGCGCATGGCCCCAAGCCGGCGCAATGAGTGCGTAGATGTGTCGAGAAGGCATGATAAGCACTGACGGTGAGAACTGGCTCCCAAAGATGCATCCTTTATAACTGCTTGCGAGATAGCAGGAAAGAACTTGATTTGAGTCATTTATGCTGAGTCATCGTTCATGGGGCGTGTCCCGCCGAGGTTCGCTTCCTCTTTAGGGAGAGTTGTCAATTCAGATGATAAATTTTGGAAAGTCCTGGTAAGCTAAACCGAAGGCTGTAATTTTTGGAATCGTGAATACCTCCCATATCGATGTAAACATTGAATCAACGGGACTTGTATTTCATATGAATTTGGTTGGATTACATGAGTAAGCTTCGTTGGTGGAGCGGAACACAGCGGAAGTTGAACGCGCAATACTGCTGAGGCCGATCATGATCTATGAAGTCACACGTAGTAGCCAAAGGAGCAATCTTGCGCGAGAAACAGGGCTTCTGGTGCTTCTGTGCATCATCTGTCTACAACAGAGATGATTGATGACGAAGGGGAGGTGTCTTGGCAGCGGACTACATGATCTATCAATCGCTCCGATGACAGTGGACAGTGAGGCTGGGTGAAAAACCCGCACATTGTAAATTGGGAATTAATTCGTTGACACGCCTACGGAGCGTATGAGCGCGCAGCCGTACGGGGAGAGACACGGGACTAGTCGGTGGTCGAGGGGAGTGAGCTGCGGCTCTGGCTCGCGCAGTATTTGTGTGTGGGATTCTGATCCTAAACAAGGTCAGGCTCAAGGAAATGAGCTCGACTGAAACGAGCAGGGGCCGTGGTGAGCAAAAAGGGGGGGACGGAGGACAAGTCTAGGACGGTAGGACAACGATGGGGGCGAGCGATGGGACGACGAGACGATAGAACGACGGGGGGAACCAATATGTAAGACTGTAGCACAAAATGGGAGTTTTGGGGGCGATGTTAGGGCAATAATGCAGAAGCGGGCGCCGAGAAAGCGAGATAGAAAGCACTGGGAAGTCGCTTTAGACTCTAGAGAGTGGGTGAAGAAGATTTCTTGTTTTTTGTACTGTACTACAGGTATTTTATACTAAGTGTAAATCAGATCAGAAGGAGATAAGTAAATTGAACCTCCTGTTGATATGGTGACCATTGAGCTCTATGTTAATTTATTACTTTAGTCCGTGCTGAATTTCGCCGAAATGAAAGGAGTTAGAGCCACAAAGAGGGAATGAACTCCGAAATCTGATTCCGGTCCGAAGCTTGTCATCACGTGCCAGATCAATTGAGGCTGCTTTGTCAGCTCAAGCAGCTTGCTACGTCATATTGATGCGGCTTCTGATCAATTGATTGCGGGGCCAGGGTGCATCACTGCTCGTCATCGTCTATTACGTTCATTTTGATTTAACGAAAGATCGATTGATGTAACCTGCGGACCGCAGGCTCTCATTGTGACGTGTGCTTTGTTCCAAGTCTTCCTCAGTTTTTCGCCTCTTGCGGCCGACCCGGGATAGAAAATGGTGCACAGAACTTTCTATTTTCTGTGCCGTCTCGACTAACTTGGTCGCACACTTGTATTTGATTTGTCCTCGGAAATAAAGACACCAGAAATACAATGATTCCCCAAATGATACTGTTCCTAAATTTTCTCCGTATACTCACAGTTCGCGCAACGAATGAATCCTGCACTTGGAATGAAGTAGACCTCATCGAGGAACATGATCACAGATGTCGATTCACGTCTGAGAAATGTCTCAAAGGATGCCGAAGAGTATCTTGGCTTAACAGGAGCAGAATGGTTGGAAAAACGTGACTGTTCCAAGCCTAGTCTGTTTGCAAGCGATCATGTGAGTGACAATCTAGATCTCGACCCGTCGACTCGTCAGGTGGACCGAATGACATTTAGATGGAGTGGCAACGCACTCCCACCGATGGGATGATCCTTATCCGTCACCTGAGATTCTTGAACATTCGATCATTCGGACAGAGTTTTCGTTACAAAACACTTTTGACGACACGGAAGTTGCAGACCCTTGGGCCGAGTATCCGGGACTTTGTCAGATCATTCTCGTGAGCACGGATCCGCTTGTCAGTTACATACCCAAGAATCTCCGGTGATCACGAGCAGATACTGATCTCTGAGGTTCTCTAATATAAGCGTGCACAACGATGTCCGTCAGCCCGCAACTACGAGCTGGTCTCCCACCCCCCAAGCTTTGCCAATTTCCCTCCTTTTTCTGTATCCCTCAGTGAGTGCAGCAATGAGAATCGGGAGAGAGGATCACGACCGGGTGACAATATGCCTTAGCAGAATCTGGAATGATAATTGTTCTGAACCGCCGGTAGAGGATGCATGTGGCGGACAGTCTTCACTCCACGCCTCACGTCTCCGCTCTTGGCATTCTCCGCTACTTCTGGTTGTCGATGCTCCGCCCATGACTGTATTTCGTGTAATTTTCCCAAAATTTACAGGCAAGGAGACTTTTTCGAAGTTGACCAGCTGTCCATCGCTTTGACCGGACAATGGGCCACCATCAACTGCTTAACACCGCCGCTTAGGTTCACCCCGTGAGAAAAGCTGCGGGGATGCTCCGAAGTGATCGCGTCTCATCGGGTTCAAATGAACAACAGATGTATTCCATCCGCTCGCTGTGGCATATTGCTCAGCATGCCCACACGAGTGCTCGATCCTCAGATTGATGGCGTGGGCGGATAGGGTGAAACGTCCCTCCATAATTCGCTAGCACACGAAGAACAGTCTGATTTTCAGAACATAGTAAGCCTCGCAATCTCGCGCACAGCCTCCCCGTTTGTTCTCTCCTCGCGCCACAGATCTCCAACGCGGATAGCGTTTCGTCGGAGGGCTTCGCCTCTAGATCCTTTTAGATCACTGAATACCTGCTTGAACTCAGCCTTCGCGTCCTCGGCAGCTCCTGTTATCACAGGAGCGTCTGGACGAAGAGAAGGACCCAGTTGGTCACCGACGCGAATCTGTGCATTGGCAGGTCATTACATTGCGTCGGAATCGAAATGGTGATAATCACCTGGAAAAGCTCGATCCCAATGGGACGGGGACCCGTTGAGAGCGTGGCCGCATTGAGAGCTTGCTCTGCTCCAATGGGCCAGAAGATAAGCGGGATTCCTTGACTCAGCCCCTCGGTCAACGAGCTATGAATGAATTGGAAATGTGCACGTCTGGACTTCAACGTGAACAGAACTGACTTGTAACCGCCATGGGTCAAAAACCATCCAATCGTCCCAGACTTCAAGATGGCTTTCTGATCAACCCAATGAGTGCAGACGAGTCCTCTGCCGCTGGCGTGAATGCGATCGATGACCGCTTCTGGCAATGAAGCCATCATTCCAGCCACCACGAATACGAAAGGCACAACACTGTCTAGACTCAGCAGCACGTCGATCATGATCTCGACCAGATGAGGTGTCATCACAGGGAAGAATAATGAGCTGAGCGAGCTTCAGTTCAACTTGAGAAACCAAGGGGAGTTCGTGACGCACCCGAAAGATATGTACAACACGGATTTCGGTCCGTATTTCTTGCGTGCATCGTCCAGGAAGGTCTTCACCCGCTCATCGCTGGGCCCGGCACCTGCTGATGGAGCTTCCCATTCATCATCGTGCATCTGAGGACCAACGAGGAAAAGTTCCTGCCCACGCTGCTTGTAGTACTCGCGAGCGGAGGCAACTGCGGCAGACTCCAAAGGGCTACTGGAGGGGCAAAAAAAGCCGTCAGCTAATTGGGCAAATTCTTGTGCGGATGCCATGATAGTCGTGAAGTGACGCGGTGAACCAGCGGCCTGCGCGGTGTGCTCATGATCATATATCTTGACTCCTCCAGGAATGTCGAGAATTCGCCCGTCGAGTTTGTCACTGCCATTACCAGCACACGTAACCTAGGAAAGGTAATAGAAAAAAGGCCTGATTGGAAAAGAAACCTGGCACAAACGTCGCCAAGAATCTCGTTCATCGTCCTTCCTGCTCGTTTGGTCTCATCGGCGTAGATCTCGCGTGCAGTCTTGTTGAAATCGAATAGGCTGAAGTGATCCATGCACGCCGCAACCCCAGTGGAGCACCAGAGCAAGATTTTCCCAGCCGGTCCTAATAACGCTCTCGACTCCTTCACAACGAATCCTCCTCCGCAGAAATCCATCTATTTAAATTGCCGAGCCGTTCATCGAGCCTGAACATCTGACTTACATGCAATGTGCTTGGCCTGGGCCAATTGGTTCCTTCTCCGACTTCTTTAGCGAGGAGCTGAAGCCATCCAGCTGTGAGCTGTTTCAGACTCTCTTGGATGTTCGCCGGTGTGGATTGGAGGCTGTGTCCGATGAAATGATCCGAATCAGAAGCAGACTGGAAACTCACTCCTTATCACCTACACCCTGAATCTTTAGCCTGCTCGTATCATACGAGCACGAGGCGAATTCCTTCACCATTCTGGGGACTAAACCCGTCAGTATAGAGGGTCAGTCGAAACATAACAGCGGTACATACCGAAGTTATCGTGCTGCACAATCGTGACCACCAGTTCCGGATCCGAGGCCAACATCCGAGTCGTGAGGTGGATGTAGGGGAGCGCATGGCCCCAAGCCGGAGCAATGAGTGCTAGAACGTGTCGGCAGGGCATGGAAGTGCGAGGGTGTGTAATCACTCCGGGGCGTGAGTGCTACATCCTTTATAGTTGTAAGAGAGTGGTTAGCGAACGACTTGACAGCCAGAGGCGGCGCCGGGGATGAGTGATTGACGGTTAGTCACCTCAATGAACGGGCCGCTACTGCATCCGCATGCGCGCACTCCTTCGCGCACAGGAGACACGGCAGCCCCGATGATCGACCCAGCATTGAGCATGCAACTCCGAGTGCGCTGACTAAGGCCCCTCAGACACAGAGAGACACATCCTTTCCAAAATGTGTTCAGCGCCTGTCCCACAAAAGCGTTCGGACTGACCGTTCACTCCAAACGCTGAGATGAAGATTGCGCAGAGCTAGGATTCGGGACTATCGGACCTTTTCAGCTCTACTTACTGTCAGCGCACAACGCATGGACAGCAGGAATTTTCGATCTGACTAAGCTGAGACTAAATCAGTAAGCTCGTTGGGTGAGCCGGGGCCCGGCTGATATTGAACTCCTGATGTAGCCGAGGTTGATGATAATCTTTTGTAAGTATGTACTTAGTAGCAGCAGATGCAGTTCCATGAGAAAGTACGCTTCTCCCGTTCCTGTGGAAGATCTGACTGCGGCAAAGTTAATCTCCGAGGTGGAATGTGAAAATTTATCCCGTGTATTCGGTGGAAGTAGCCGGGGAAGTGACCAGGAGGGCATGAGGACATTATTTCAAACTTCATCCTGAATCGTTTCTCGATGGGCCAGATCGGATTGTGAAGGGGCGAAATCGCAAGATAATCTCTGATCGTCGATGTTTCGAATCTAGCTGACCGGAGACGGACTGAGACTTTCTCCCGATACTGGGGCACGGCGCGCACGACCGTCCCGCCTATGGAAAGTATATCCGGGCTCCACGCATGGGATGCGGTAAGCAGGGTGCCTAAGCGTCCCGCGGCGGGGACATCACACTCAGAAACTCAATCGGAGCGAGAAGCCCTCATTGCCTTTCAAGTTCAGCGGTCGAAGCAGCACATGCGGAGTCTGTTTCCTCTCCACTTCGACATTTGTCAGATTCTTAAATGACTCACGGGTTTTTGCGGGTCATCCCGAGTGCTTCCAGTAAACAGATTAATTTTGAGCAGCACGTACTACGGAACAAACGCGGAATCACATTCGCTCCATGTTACATATCTAATCCGATCTCCGCCCACACGAGTCTCCATGCGTGGCAACGAGCTCTGACACGAGAGTAACGCCGCACTGACTGAACATTGTAGCCTGGGGAAGGTCCCAGTTGTTGAAACCTCCGACATGGCAGAGAAGTGGGCGATTGATCGTGTTCTGTCCCCTGTCTTCCCGCTATCCGGAGATAGAGAGGAGAAATGTGGTGCGTTGCCGTCATTCGGGAGTCGGCTGCTACAAGCGGAGAAGGGGTTGGCAGATGATAAATCTACTTGTTGACCGGCGATAGCTATGGGAATGCCAACAGTCCGCAGGCGCTTCACCCCAGATGCCACCGCCATCATTACATAATAGACCCCGCGGGTACCTACTGGGTACCCATAGACGTAGCTCTATGGGTACCCAGTAGGTACCCCCCCCGCGGCGGGGGCGCAGGGGGCAGGGTCATGTGCAGGGGTCAGGGGGGGATAATACATATCATGTGATTTATCCTGTAGATCAGGCAGCTGGGTGGGAGAAAAAATAGAATCATGTGAGGCATCAAATGGGCAGGGGATGGCAGGATAAAAAAAATCACGTGATCAAACACATGAGATTTCAAAAATGTTGGCGGGGTCACTACCGCCCCCTCCCGCACACCAGGGCGGACAGTGGGCGCATTATCACATGACTTTTTGGAGACTTTTTTTGCACTGTTTAGCATGGTTTCTGTTGTCCTCCTAATACATTGTATGTTGTAGCCGGTTGGTAGGCAGATGATCACATGACTTTTCACAAATAAAACAAAAAAGCAGCTCCAAATCATCCCACTGGGATTTCAATAGCTGGGTTCAATTTTAACCATACATTTGAGCTTGAAAACCCAAAATTGTGAATCCAATCCTGGTGGTGGCTTGGGCGGGGTTGATTGCAGGGGTGCATAAACCTCTGCCCACCCCCGCCACAACCCCTGCCATCACCCCCACTGCAACCCCCGCCATCACCCCTGCCATCACCCCCACCATCACCCCTGCCATCACCCCCACTGCAACCCCCGCCGTCACCCCTGCCGTCACCCCTGCTGTCACCCCCGCCGTCACCCCCGCCATCACCCCTGCCGTCACCCCTGCCGTCACCCCCGCCATCACCCCCGCCATCACCCCCGCCGCAGTGGTGCACTTGTCCCTGCCATCTCCAAATATGAAATATTATGTAAAGTGACAGCTCGGAACACATTAGCTCATTAGCCAATCAGAACCTGTATAAAGGTCATACTCCAGTGTTTCTGCTCTTCTGACACTTTCCCTACATGTATTGCAGCCAAAAATCATTAGAATAATGTCTCCCTATGCTACTCTTGTCAAATATAATGCTAATTCATGTTGTTTGTCTGTTCAAAATTTGAAACATTGAAACAGTCCATGGTTGGGTAAGGTTCCTATGTAGAGACTACTTCAACATGATTCACTTTGGGTATTGCACAAAATATATTTTCTACAAGGGCCAAACTTTGCACAACTGAAAGATACACTCTTTGACATTGCTTGAATCAAGTCTTGGGAGTTCTGGACTCTGGAACAATTCAGAAACATGGAATGAATTCAAAACATAGTATATTTCTGAATGTCTGCCCATTTGATGCCTCACATGATTCTATTTTTTCTCCCACCCAGCTGCCTGATCTACAGGATAAATCACATGATATGTATTATCCCCCCCTGACCCCTGCACATGACCCTGCCCCCTGCGCCCCCGCCGCGGGGGGGGTACCTACTGGGTACCCATAGAGCTACGTCTATGGGTACCCAG